TATGAACTACTAAATAGAAGCATAGATTTTTAAAAAAATGAAAAAGAGCTCAGAGGGATTTGAATAAAGTGGGTTTTCAACATGGTTTTAAACATGTGCATATAGGGACTGAGCATTTCAGATGGGGAGGCAGGCTATTACAAAGTCTGGGAGCATATTAAATTATAATTAAATAAATGTTCATTGCATTCCATTCTCTGGATTGCTTGAATAACTCTGTAAATTGATATTAACCTGAAGGTAAATTGGTGAAATCAGATATTTGGTTTCACTTAATTTCATTGATTACGAGAAGTAACCCCCCAACAAACGCATCTCCCGCAAGGTTTAAGTGGGATAAGGGGCAGGAATTGTGCAGTGTAATCCATATAGCCCAGCTCTGAAAATTACCTCCTCTTTGGCTTCCTTCAGTGAGTTCCTTCTTCCTTCAGGGGGTTCCTTCCTATCAGGTATCTATTTTCTACACATTAATTGAGAAAGACATGTGAATGAATTGTCTAAGTACATACATACATTGTAGGATAGAGGGAGGGGGGGGGGGGGTGCAGCTACAATGGATAGACTCCTGTCACACCGCCAGACAGATCCCAGATTGACCATTTCCAGATTGACCGATTACAGATTGACCACGATAATTGACAAAATCCTCATCATTTGGGTTAAAAGGTATAGACCAGTTTTGGAAATGCCCCCACCCCCCCCCCCCCTCTCAAAAAATGAAATGGAAGCTCTTATTACCAATCATGTGAAAGAATATGTTTGGACTGATATGTGATGATACAAATTTTGCCGGGAAGCCGCCTACTAATTGATATATTTGGTAAATGCTATTATCTATCTGGACTGGATAAATATCGTGCACGTGTCACATAGCCTATATACATCTTTCTGTGTACAGAGCTTGTAAGGTTTACCAAGACTGGGCCAAATTTCTTATCATTTTGATGATTCCAGAACCTTGCAGCACACACCAATACTTATATGCTAGAAGATCAACCTTTTCTGATTGATTCCACAACGTTTCTTTCCCAATTATGCAATCGCATGACCAGAACTGGTCTTTACCTTTAACATAAACTTTTGTTTGGTGTGTATGTTGTCGGCTTGTTGTCTGTCTGGTGCTGGTCCCATCAGTATAACTGATGTGTAGGTTTAAGGGTGAGGATTCCTTTTTATATCTCAACTGGGCAGGTTGTCCAAGGGTTGTCAGACATAGTGACTCAGTCCCATATGATTTCTCTCTTCACAGATGTACAGGAGACAATAATATATGTGATCATCATGGAAGTTTGATGACCGAAATTAATGTAGGTGATCTAAAAGTAGATCTTAAGGGAAACACTGCCCACCTGTGAAAAGGATGATTCATTGTAGAGTCCTTGATATAATACAAATGGTATTTTTAATTGTATGATTACCGGACAAGATTAAACAGAATCAAGAATAGATCCATTGCTGGGCTTGACAGCAGAAATAGGAGTGTTAGGAAACCCCATGGAAGTGTTTTGCTTTAATTGCCGTTGTTTGGGATCGGCTGCAAGATCTACATTATATACAGCTGAATTTTTAAAATGACCTTATTTTCAGTCATACACAGACTGTGCGACCACCCAGCAAGATATATCTTCAGGTTCTGATTCCAATATAATTTCAATGAGAAAAACTGTTTAAAGAAATTTCTCTTTGTTTTTATTATCTATGAATATCAGGAAACCATTCGGAAATAGACACCAACAAATGTTTTTATTGAACTGAGTACTGAAATTGATTCCAGCAATTTGCCATAACAAACAAAACACACATCCTTCCTTGTTCACTCAGTCATGTGCCCCGTCTTTACTAAAGAGTTGCGATTGATTACAAATAGTTTGAAATTGAAATCAAATGCATGTCCTGTTTCTTTTGACAGAGGTGTGATTGATATTGGTTGCAAATTATTTGTAGTCAATCGCAACTCTTCAATAAGATTTGGCCCTGATGTACATTCAAGAATGGATGCTAATTTTGCATCTAATCAACTTTTCACTAAATATCCATTTCTGATACCGGTATGTCTTACAGAGAATACAGCACAAAACCTAAGAATTATGAATGTTTTTTTTTTGCAGAAACTTGAGTGGTTGTATATTCAAACAAAGGCAGGGATGTTGGTTTGATAATTTAGCTTTTGTTTGACAAGGCCATACATGGGATATGCTCAATTTATCAGCAAATGAATGCACATGGAAATGATCATTAAGTACCAAACCAGAAAATCATTTGGAGTTTTCAAAAAGAGTCTAATAACGACAGGGCCTTCCAATTAAAATATGTTTGTTTGGCAGTTATGAATACATTTTTATTATTTAAATGTCTGCTTAACTTTAAGCAGTTATCCAGAGGTTGATTTCTTAGTTATGATTAATGTTGTAGTCATAATACAATCTAGGTGCACACACACATACAAAAAAAACCTAGCATACAAAATTGACATAGATCTTACTTTTGGTTGTAACTGAATCTGTGAGAATGCCACCTGTGAAGTGTGAACTTTGTATTTCAAATATTTCTTTGACCAAAGATAGCCAAGTTTAAAAAGAACTTTAAGCCACCCTTAAAATGTATAAGACAAGCTTTAAACATCATGTTAGGATTGCTTCAATCCATAAACTAATGAAACCTTTCTGTATCTGGAAGCAGATTCTTTGTCGCTGTACATGTAAGTGTATATCCTTGTTATAGCATCAACTAATTCTGGAGTACCCTTTCTTGCTGTTAAGATGACTCCTCAATGCTGAGTAATCCTCCTTATCTGTCTCTGTTTCTGGGACGTGAAGGAGAGCTAGCCTTTCTCCTGATCGATTGCTGGGACAGGAAGTCAACCTGCCTTGGCATGATGGGCAACAATCATGGTTGCTATGGTTACCATCCTATCTTCATCCGACAGATGCCCATGCATTCTTTATTCAACCTGACGGGGACCGTCGCTCCCCTTTATTTTTGTCCCTCTGTTGACGTACAGGGTGTGCAGGAAAAGATGGAAAAGATGAGCTTTTGGGATATTGCTGAATAGTCAAGATGAACAAATTTAGAAAATCATTTCAGTGAAAATGTTGAAATTTGAAAGCCAGAAAATCATGAATATTTGAGATAATGCAAGTCTTAGTCGGTAGATTTCTAAGGCATTTCAGAGATTTGTTCGTGTGAAAACATGTTCGGATGAAAGAGGATAAAAGTTATTAAATGGAGGACAAATACATTTGCATCAGCAAACAAACTAAAGGTTTATCCTGCATGCTCTTGTGCATCTATGACCGTAAGACATAACGAAAAGGAAATGGCAAAGTGCCAGTGGCGAAGTCTTCCTATTAACCAAGTTATCATGAGAGATCTGTGACATCTAATGAGGATTCTATTTCAACTTTGGTCAATAAAAAAAGTAGTTTGTATTTGAACATGACTGAACAATGATGAAGACACTTGGTAGGCCAACATGGATTCTATATATATTTTATGAGGTATTCACTGTGCTGGTATCCTGTGGCAGAAGAGCTCTGCAGAGCATCTCCCGATGACGTTTTATACACCTGCTTCTTATATAAATACTAAATGAACAATTGTAAATTATTTCACTGTAACTAACCAAATATATTTGACTGCAGTTTGTTGTTTTAAATTCAGGTCAAATTGTATTCATTTTTAGATACCACGTAGATGCCTGCAGCTCGTTTTTACATGTGTCATGGTGTTTGTCATACCAATATCTGCTTTTTGTTTTTGGTTTGGAATGTCAAGGGTAGAACAAGGATGTTTGTTCTCTGTTGCCTGGAAACCATCAACAGTACCAGTTTCCTGACGTGGAGTAATTCTGAAAGTAGGTCTAGAGCTGGGCGTGTACATCCACATGGTACTGTCTCTACATCCATGGCTTGTTGTTAACCTCTAGAGAGGGTTGTACGGCACTCGTACTCTGATGACTGTTTCTCCATAGACAATTCCTACACCAACAGAAATCCTAACTTTATTCCTGGACACAAACACTGTACCTATAGCTAACCCTAGCCTGAAACCTAACCTAATTCCTAACCCTGCGCTGATTATCTCTGAAGAAATAAAGCCCAGAGCAAAATGTTAAAGATGAAGTTGAGTTCTGGTCATGCGATTGCATTGTGAAAGAAACAGTGTGGAACCGACCAAAAAAGGTTGATCATTTAGCATATAAGAATTTGTGTGTATTGCAAGGTTCTGGAATCATTAAATTGATAAGAAATTTGGCCAAGTCTTGGTAAAGTTACAAACACTGTACACAGAAAGATGTATATGGGACTACACGAACATGTGGCGTAAAAAGCCGGCCCCCCGATTTTTACGATGTTACATGCATATTTAGATTGTGAAGGCATTTGAAGAACCATGCTTTTCAGGGAACATGTCTTATCTGATGTTCTTCCACACTTGCATAATGAGAATGAGTAATGCTCACAAATTTTTTTCACCTCTTCCCAGAACTCAACCTTCTCTTTAATAGGATAGATATTAGTGAAGCTTCATGGGAATTTTTTTATTTTTTTATTTTGGCCTGAGCTTGAGGTCATGTAGAAAGTCTGCATTTGCCTGAAAATTTCAATTTTTTTATTTTATATTTATTTTATATATATGCTGAGATTGTGCAGCCAAGCAGGAATATTTATTTCTTTTGAAACCTTTGAAAGATATTTGATACTGTGTGGAACAGCAAAGTTTTGTCTTGCCAACCCGTGAACCATTTTTGGGATGAATCGGTATGTTCCCCTTGAGGTTTGACACATCAGTTTGGAACAATGTTGGAATAACTACCAAAATAGCATATTGTTTGTTTGGAGCCATCCAGAAGGATGTTGACTCATGTACTTTAACACAGAGTCAATGTCCTTCTGGCCCTCAACAGACAATTTTATTTAACAGTTATGATGTAGATCCTGGTCTAATTCTAATTCCGCTTTCTCCATCTCTCTCCATCTCTCTCCATCTCGTTCCTACAGCTGTACATGCAGAGCCGCTGGAGCTGGCGTGACACCGTCTTCCTCCGCCCCCTCGTGCAGGTCATCGCACTCTTCCTGGCCCTCTACACCTGCCTCAGTCGCATCTCGGACTACAAGCATCACTGGAGTGACGTGTTCGGAGGTGCGGTCATGGGAGGCAGCATCGCCGCGGCGATGGTATGGTGAGAGAAAAGTCGTCCCACAGAAAGAGGGGGTGGTGAAATTGACTCTTTTGTTAATAGCATTTTACGTTCAAATTTTTAGTTGCTTGCAGTTAGGTAGGTCGATCACAAGCTTGTAAACCATCAGCAGATGAAAACCTCCTATCCTCTGTTGAGAGCCAGAAGGGTGCTAACTCATAAGATTTAATGTCCTTCTAGCTTTCAATAGACAATGATTGCTCTCAGAAAAGCTAGGAATCTAATTCACATTTATCATCATCAAGACAGATTTTCTTTTCTTTCGCTTGAGTGTTTGACACTTGACAACAAGTCTTGAAACTCATTTAAACATTATTGTACAAGTTCCAAAATTGCATTTATGAATCATACTAATCACTAATACCACAGTCAAACCATCAAGAGTGACTTTAGACTCACAACAATTGAACAAAAGTTTGAATTTCCCCAAAAGACCAAAAATTGGGGGTTCAGTGTCAGTGCAGAGATGGATAGCCAATGCAACCAAGGTGTAAAAAGAGGCCCGGACACAAATGAGAATCAAACTAATGAGAAACAAACTTGCTATCAATAAAAGTATAATGACAAAGACAATAATGAATCCTGTTTACATTTGTTTGTAAAGGTTTCACCTTTATTTGATCATTATAGTTTGTGTTAACAAAACCTATAATTCATTTATTTAATTAACCATTATTCAAACTCAAAGACACCATACCTTCATGAAAGACTTGAACTTTAAATTAGTTTAAGTTAAACTACAGCATAGTTTTTAACTTGCATGAAAACATTTAATGCATAACATGATTTTGCAGCTGCTGGGTAAGTCATTGAAAAAAAAGGAAAGCTTTATAACAGTTAAAGCATATAAAATGTAAGCTACACATACAAGAAATACCTGATGCATGATATTTATAGCAAGCTATGAGCTATTATGATTATTACATTTACAAACTTTAAATATTAATCTGAAGTCATGATAGAATTTGGCTTGCTTAAATGCTCATTTATTTTTTATATAAGATTTATAAATCTTCATCGAAAAAAATACATTGTTTTGCATGCTAGCATGAGCCTGCCTGAAATATCAGATTTCAAGAATGGTAAGTTATTTATGAGAAAATGTATATCGGTAATTCCATAAGTAAGTGACCCATTTTGTGACAATTTTGGTGTCCATGTTACATAAGGAATCCACACGTAATTGTGGCTCTGAGTAAAGACTTAAATATTGGAGTGAGATTGTAAAGTGGTTCTAGGTATGAGGATGCAATATTATGCTTGGAAATCACTTTACAATCTCACTCCACTATTTAAGTCTTTACTCAGAGCCACAAATATGTGTGGGTTCCTTATGTAACAGGGACACCAAAAATGTCACAAAGTGGGTCTCTAATTATTGGAATTACCCATATATTTAATCATAGAACCTTGTAGGTGAAATAAATCTTTGCATCTTCATCAAACTAGATATGAATTCTAGCAGTACACACTTGCCTACACCTTCTTCTGTATGTTTCCTTTCTTATTTCATCTCGCTCTCTCTGTCTCTCTCTCTCTTCCTATCTTTTAATTTACTCTGATACAAGAAAACAAATGACCACACTTATGCAAGTAAATAAATGCCCCCTCCCTAGTATGTGATATTTTACTTTGAATTATAATAGCACATAAAATCATATCAATGATGTAAAACGATTGAAAACAAAAATACCTCAGATGATATTGAATCAATGACAAAACATAAAGTGCTCATCACCTTTGAAATAAAGACAGTTCAATGAGAAGTCTTACTCACTGTCATGCAATGATAAAAGTTCACCAATGGACACGTCCATCTGCTGCAGTTACAATTCGTCCCTTCAGAGCCAGAGGGTGTTAACTGCATTTATATATATATATATATATATATATATATATAAGACACTAACTAACACCCTTCTGGTTTCAAAAAGACAATCTGTGAGTGACCAATTCTCATACTTCTCTGAATGGATTCAAAAGATGATAACGAACTAATTAGAAATCGGGAATGGATCTTGGAATCAGGAAGTAGCCTTTAACTCGATGACGCTGATCTGTTTATCATCAAGGTGGCCCCCTCAGATACTTTTATGCTATGAGTCAATTTTACCATTCCACTTTCTTTGAGACTATACTTTTCTAAAATGTGCATTTATATTGTTTTAAATGTTATACATCATGCTTTTTAATATACCATGCAGTTATCTTATTTTTCATAATCAAGTTATTTTATTTGAAGCTTTAAAAACTCTTTGCTCATTTAAAGTATAATCATCATGCAGTTTCATGTATTTCTATTTTCTAGTTTGATTTTGCATTCTTTAAAATCCTATGCTGTACACTGACTTTTCAAAACTTAATACATTCTACCTTTAAATCTTTATTTTACTGCAATATTTCTGCTATGAAAAGAATGTTTACAGGCATTTTTCTGATCCTGTTTCTGTCTTTCTGCAAATATTACTTGCATGATGTTCTTTTCTTGTGACCATGGAGTTTAAATAGTCACAACTGGTATAACACACATTTCCTTCAACTCCCAGCTCAAGTTATGTAAGGCTAAGCATTCAACAAATTAACTTATTGATTTAGTTGGCAAGATGTAAAGCACCATGCAGTCCGGGGCTTATTAGCAGGAAGAAACATTCAAGACCATGAGCTGTTTACTTAGCAGGAAATTCAATGAGATTTTAAGAGCAGTTGAAGAGGAAAAGATGAGTTTACCATGAGATGTGATGCCAAGAAAAATAGGTTGTGAGGATTATTTTTACAAGTATATTTTCTCGCTGTGTGTAATGACCAATTCCAAAGCAAATAAGAACCCTAGTTTGATTCATTTATCATAGCTTTATCTATCATAGACTCAGAGGCAAAGGTCACTAGCAAGTCCATCAAAATCATTCTAAATTTTTGTCTAACATCCCTGTAGTTGTTATTTTGGTACATTAGAGATGAATGTAGCTCTCTCAGAAAATTGTGATCAATTTAACCCTTTATATGTTGTACAATTTAGTACAAATAATCTCCATGTGCCAAATTGTATTACAAATGGGATAGAGAGACCAAAGAGACCAAAGGCTTCAAGATTATGTAACTGTTTCCAGCGCAAGATTCACCTATACTAGTGTTTAAAGGGTTATCATGGAGCTAATCAAGATGGGAAATAGGCAACTTTGCAAAGCCACTGTGCTGCACACAGCAATCCTTCTGTCTATTTGTGCCTATTGTTTTGTGCAAAATTGCATGTGTGGCAAATGAGCAACCGTGCAGAGATGCGAAGAAAGCAAGTGAAGTGTTAACAGACATTAGTTGATTCAAGGGGGGGGGGGGGGGGGGGGGGAGATTAGGCTGAGGGGAGGGTGAGGAGGTGCAATTACATCTCTATGACTATTCTGCCATAACATACAAGTAAGTAGGAGGGATATGCACCCTTTATTTTGGCAATTTCTTTATTCGTTGTAAATGAAGAATCTTATTTATTTTGAATTACCATCTGTTTTTTCCTAAGACAAGTTTATGCAAACATTGAATGGAATGATATACAAATAATTCATAAACCCACCACACCTAATAAATGCCCTTTGGCTTTAGAACTGCCCAATGAGGGATGAAAGAAATTGAGCTTTATGTCACCTAGTCTTCTTACAGAACAATGGTGAAAATAGAGAACGATAAAAACAAATATTTGTGACTATACCCACTCGTTTTCTCTCGCCATCAAAATATTTGAACAATTAGCATGGTCTGATAGTCATGAACCACATCAAAGAAACTTTGTTTGCACAAATTGCTCCACAATTTCATAAAATACAATTGATTCTTAATTTAGAAGGCAAATGGAAAAACAAAAACAAGATAAATTTCACGGTGGTTTGCTTTTCAAGTGCATTAAATTTGATTTTTATCATAGAAGTTTTTTATTTTAATCATAAGGTTTTTAAAATGATATTATTATGTTTATCCAGATAAGAATTATCAAATAAAAAATGATATCATGATTGGAGTTTACTTGTCAAGTAGACCAGTCAAACATAGATAAAGCCTTTGAACTGAGAACCACATCTTGGTGATTATAATTTTAACAAAATGGATGTAGGTACCGCTCATGCTAAAAATGGGAAATACAATCTAAGAGAGACTATTAACTTTTTCACGATTGACCCTGAAAGCTGTGTCCAGTGAATAACTAGCTACTGCCAATTTTGCTTCCGAGGGTAGCTGTTTCACAGGGCGTGGCATAGGAAAGGGCGTGTAGAGGTCCCCTATTACTATCTGAAGGAACCCTTTTACACCAATCTGTCGTCATCTAGAAGGGGTAAGGGCATGAGGTCGTAGATTAGCCCCCTCCTAACAATCTCTCCGATCTTCTTCGTCATATCAACGAAAGGTCTTTTTCTGAAAGTCTTTCGCGGGACTTAAAGGAAATCTTTCACAGGACTTAGAGGAAATCTTGCCTCGTGACTTTGAGGAAATGCATGAAAGTTTTCTCAGTACTTAAAGGAAATCTCTTAAGGAAATCTTTCTCAGGACTTTAAGGAAATGCTTGAAATTAAGAAATCCGATGCCTAGTCAGTGCTTTCTAGAGCAGGTCTTGGAAAGCAAGTCTCATCTGTCATCCCTGTGATTCTTTTTGGCTCTTTGCACGTGAGCCATGCATGCATGAAGCTTTCAAGCTACTCAGGCAGTGTCTTAATTAGCGTGGATAGTATCGGGCTAGATTTAGAAGGGATGTTGAAAGGATGAAGAGATAGACTTCCAGGGCTTTCTAGAGATGAAAAACATGCTCCTGTCGTCAACCTCGTCGTACCTTGGCATTTGCAGGCAAGATTTGAGGGGAGTGTGCCATCTTAGATTGTAATCGTAACTTCCTGGGAAGGTTGCGGTCATCTGTGAAGAAACGTTTGTTAGACCGTGGGCCATATATTCCATCTTTTGTGTAGGAAAATGATGTCAATTGTCAGAGCAAACTTGAAATGTGTGAATAAAGAGTTATTATTGGTGCTTGCGCAGACGTTTCTTTTAACTATATGTATATGTGCCAGCTTATGGTAGATATTAACCCATGACTTGTCCTATTTTTGATTTCTTACTTATTTTACTTTAGTTTTTGCATCCTCACTTTCAAGACATGTGTCTCCTTCACCCCCTGTGCTAGAATCATGATTACACCACTGTAAGTTATAAACATAATAATAGTAATAAGTAGTGATTTTCATTGCATTCTTTTGTCTCCCTTCTCTCTCTTTCAACCAGGCATTTGGTGTATCAGATCTCTTCCGGCAGGGCCGCTCCCCTCACAATCACCCCGGGGCCGCGGGGGCCACGACCTCGTCTTTATGGAAATGAACCCTCGCACCCGTAAAAGCGACGGTCTGATCTGATCAATGGCACAGATCTGGAATGCACCTTCACATGAATGTAATCGGCCATTTTGATAAAAATATAGCATCACGGCTATATCGTTATGTCAAATGTTCTTTTGTAGAGATTGTATGCACATGCTTTGGTGACAATTGCTCCACAGTAAAATTCTTTCATCCATGAAATTCGTAACTTTCACCCAACATCCAAAAGTAAACCCTAACCCAAATCCTAACCTTAAACCAGGGACATGATAGAGTATCATGTCCCTGCTTAAACCTCACTTTGGACCTACATACAACCTACATACAACCTACATACAACTCTTCCCCTGATGCTATATCTTTTGCAAAGTAAAGCTGGAACAATTGTCACCATAGCAAGCAACAGCACACTGTTGTAATCATAATACATAGAGTTGTGATAGCTCAATGTGATTATGACATTTTTATGAGGCTGGTAGTTAAGCAGGGATAAAGCATAACATTTTTTTGTTCTCTATTAGGTGGTTCGTATTCACATTTCACTATGGTGCAACTACATGAAATAGTGAACTACAACCAAAGGATAATTGGTTATGATCAGTTAATCATCTGAAAAGATAGTAAAAGAAAACTGCAATCTTAAAGAGATGCAATTTAAAAAAAAAATAATGTTGCTCTTAGCTGCATTATTTGAATAATAATGTACATTAGTAAATATTGACATGAGGTGCCTTTATATTTGATATAAAATTCTTTTTGTTTTTTAAAATTAACTTGAATTGTAAAGATCCACCTTACCAATTGACCAAATTGTCCTAGCTGTTGTTTGTTTAGTTTTAGAATAAGCATGAGTCTCATTCACTATATGTAAATACTCATTTTGATATGTGATAAATGTCTTACATATTTTGTATTGTATGTGTATGGTGTACATTGTTGTTAGATCTTAGCCAACCTTGCATGTCAGAGATATTTGAAACAAAACTATTTCTGCGAGAGGCGGCTGAGAATGTTTCACCTGTAAACATAAAACATTTTGAAATCCTCTTATGTTTTAGGTAACGCTGTAGTTTTGATTAGCATACCTTTTCACACGACATTTCAAAAAATCTGCTCAAAAGTTTATAAAAAAAAATATAAAAAAGTGCAATAAGATTTTGTTACTCGTTCTTACCTCACAAATTAGTATTTAATATGTTTAATTTATTAGAATTTTATATTGCCGCAGGAGTAGTTTAAGAGAAAAAATGCGTAGTATTGCAAATTCCTATAGTTTCTTTTTAATTATTTGTTATATGTTTTTAGTGCTCATGATGCAATACATACATAATTCATGTATTTTTCTTGCTTGTAAATGCAGGTAGCAGATATTTTTTTAATTTTCACGAAAATTCTGTTAATACAGCTTTTCGTCAAGTAATATGATTACTTTGACCTCTAAACATGGTTGAACTTGAATGATACTCATTTTCAAAGTTCAAGTCTTTTTACGACAGTTTCCGTTAAGGCATATGGCTCCAAGTCTAAGCACCCACATCTCTTAGACATACATGCTTTACATTGCAAAACAGTTTGGGGTCGAGGAAAAGTCTAAATGTCAAAATGTTTTGGCAGAACATTAAATGTCTGGTCACAACTGCATCGTAATTTCATCTTCACCAACAGCCGCCTTTTTTTCTTGGCACGAAATGAGAGTTTTAAACGTAGGGGCATCAATTTACGCTGGTTCTCTAATGGCCATAACATATTTTATGAAATGAGACATTCAAGCCTCTTGTCGTGTCAGTTTTTAAGAGTAACATTAAACATTAAAGGAGACAGATTATCATTATATGCCAATTTTTTTCAGTCATTTTTTGCAGTTTGTTGTAAAAAAAAGTCAAGCAGGACATCAGAGTGTCCAAACGTAGACTGGGGCAATCAATATCTGGAGCTAAGATGGTGACAATAATTTGCAATTTTGCTCCTGAGCAATGAATCTTGATATTTCTCACTCTTTTTTCTTCAATTGAGAATCAGTAACACTATCTAAAACCACATGGGGAGCAAAGCATTTTTGGATTGGCAAATAATTTTGTTCAGCTTGCCCCCTATCACATTGAACCCTCGTAAACATCGATGTAAGGTTGTAACATTGCTTTTAACAGTCTACAGCATATTTTGAGGGGAAAAGTTCATGGATAATTGCCAAATCAGACTGTTTTTTGTTCGAGTGGGACATATCAAATTCAACATTGTCAGCAGATTATATTCTGCTTCATCATGTGACGATCCCCTCTGCCAAGAAAACATGAACAAATTAAGTTAAACCTTAGGACTTAGTTATGTCATGCAAGAGAGATCAAAATACACTCCTTTTGTGCAAAGCACCTTTAATAGTCTTTGTGTCATTAGGAGGAGGAGGATTTAGCTGAGGTTGTCATGGAGATGTAGTAGGGATGCGTCAATCAAGACAGATTTTCATGAATTGTTTCCTCTCGATGGGAACAATGTGCCAGAAATGATTTATAGATATGGGAGGAGTATTAGCAGTTGGAAAGCCTCAAGATTTACCAGATGTAGGAGGAAGTGCTGAATTTGGTTTAAATCGTTGAGGGATTTAACTATGTGCAAAATAGTTATATGTGTATACGTATTCCTTCCCCTCCTACTCCAGACCTGTACATCTGTCTTTCTCTCTCTCTCTCTCTGTCTCTATGTCTCTTTCTCTCTTTCTAGCTTTCACTTCATCTGTCATACTCAGTCTTACTATCTCCTCTCTATCACTCTATCATCTATCTTGCCATCATTTCCACTAATTCTCTACCTCTCGTCATATTTCGATTAAATACTTCTATTCTCTTTTAAAGTGCTTTAGAAATTTATTTCAATCCAGTTTCAGCTCCTTTATAAGTGTATCTCAAGGAATAGATCATTGCATTTAGGTCGTAAGCTTCTAATAGAGATTGATGTCTTGCCAAAGTACATTAATTGGCATCGAACTTGTGTCCTATGCATCTCCAGTCAAGCAAGCATTTAACCACTCACATGTCATATCAAATTTCAGTCGTTATCCCATATTTCAGTCGCAGACGCGATATCAATTTCATTGTAAAATGTATTGTTTCTCAGAACTTATAATAATTTGGACCAACCATCTTCACAAAACATACATTGTATACAGAGATTCTTTTTTTTTAATTGTGTTCCTTAGGTGCAGAATGAATGAAGTTGACCTGGACAATTTGTTTTGGGTTTCTGACAAATGTTTGCATTCTAAGAGCACACGGCCTAAAGACAAAAATAGTTTAAAACTTGAAATCTGTTATGTTGGCTTGTACTTATTGTTTTCATCTGAAGTATAAATTTGATTTAAATATGTTGTCTTTCAGGTTAAAGGCTATTTTGTTTGTTTATTTTCATATAGCTTGCCAGAGTTGTAACGTGAAACCTCCATCCCTGTTGTCACCCATAGCTGCAGTTTGATATTAATGTTTTCCCAATGTTCTCTCCACAATCACATAATGATGTATATCTAACATTATATTTTCCTATTTACTTGCGATCATGTTGGCATTTTTAACGTGTATATAGCGTCACCACCAGTGGATCAAAAATAAATGACATGATAACCCATGTAATTAAATGTTGATTCTGAGTGTGGATCATGTTTTTATTTCATGAGAGAGAGTTGAATAAGGGAGAATACAGGAGAGAGAAAGAGAGATAGAGAGAGAGAGAGAGCGAGAGAGAGAGGGGGAAGAGAAATAGAGGGAGAAAAATATAATTAGAGGGAAAGCAGGGGAAGGGAGGGAGATAAAGGAAGGGCAGAGGGAAAGAGGGGGGATGAGAGAGAGAGAGAGAGAGAGAGAGAGAAAGAGAGAGAGCGCGGGGGGGGGGGGGGTAAATGGAGAGAGAGAGGGGAGGGGAGACGGTGAGAGAAAGTCGAGAGGGAAAGGGTACATCGAATGTCGGGTTGATTGTGACAACAATTCTTTTTTTAATACTTTTTTAAAAATGATTAATATCATATCGCTGTTTAAAAAAAATTATTTTAAGATCATAAATTACATCGAACATGGTGAGGAAGCATTGAAGAATAAAAAGGGGAACCAAAAAGAAATGGCCGGGACATACAGGACCTACAAGCCAGAAGCTGAATACAAAATGAAAAAAATATTCCCTTTATCAATTTTATAATTTTAAAATTGTCCAGGATGATTAGATACCAAAATATTACGATTCCAGAGATGTAAAAAGGGGTTATTGTTGAATATTCAATGAGGTATATACATTTAAAAAACAAAATTAAATTGTCGATATGACAATTTAGAGGGAATATTATTACGTTGTTGTTGTTAAACGGAATCATCATACAAGTATATCTAATTATTACAAATCCATTTGGAAAATATGCCCTTTTCGGATATGTGGGAAATAATGCTAACAACCGCAGGAACAACATAATGTTCTTTACAGGAGTAAAACTTGTGTCTACACTGGTGAGCAAATAACAGATTAAAAAATGACCTATGTCACACATCTATGTACATACATTTCTACCCGGCTGAACCAGGTCTGCACACGGTTATATTAGGCCGAAAGTCCATTCATTTCCTGTCAACTTTCCTTGTTTTAGGGTGCGGAAGTTTCCATTAGACTGAAGCCCCTCTTTTACCTCGCTCCGTTGCATGGGTGGATGCAAATCTAAGAATAGGTATTCAGAGTTTACGTTCATGACGAATGCAGTTTTTTTTAATCATACGCATTTAATTTCTTTCTCAGTCATTCCTTTATGTAAACAAATTATGAATACCGCTGCATCCGGGTGCGGAGCTACCGCTTGAGATCATGGTGTTATAATTTTAGCAGAATAAGTCAAATATGAGAGAGAGAGAGAGAGAGAGAGAGAGAGAGAGAGAGAGAGAGATTTCATTTGCCCAAGCAGACAACTATTTGGGTTACACATTTTTATTACAAGGAAGATGAGTATATAACAATAACGTGTATTTTATCCTGACGTGGCTCACAAATTTTCTTTTCAGGTCATTATTCGTGGAGGGGGATGGGGGCAAGTGGAAAACTAGTTGGCTAAAATATAATGATATCTCATTAAAAGGCTTCCATGGTGATTTTAGACTCGAGAAGGGTTTTCGGTTACACCACGTATTATTTCGACAGGGTTAGTTGGCTCTGGAAAGGGCCCACTCATGCTCTATCTCACTGTTTCTATAGGTAGTACCTATCGTCTTCATCTTGAAGGGGGAGGGGGGGGGGGGGTAGGTACAAGATATCGAAACGTCGAGATAGAGCATGAGTAGGCCCTTTTTAGGGGCTACTAACCCCGTCGAAAGAATATGTGGAGTAACCACACGCCTCGCTTAAATCGTTGGATAAAATTAATCAGAAAGAAAAAAAAACACCCCAAAATATAATGGCGTAAAGGGGATTTATTACATTCTTTTAACACAGCCTATCCCAATTTTCCATTATTCAATGGGGAAGGGGTAAGTTCTTCCTACTTGCCCCCTCCATGAACGTGACCACCCCCCCCCCCCCCCGAGCTACGCCACAGACCGATGTTGTGATTGATCTTGTAGTGTATATAATATGTTCAAGTCGATATATTTACATATTACAAAAATTATGTTTGTCATTATTTTTGAGGGATCCACATTTTACAAGCTCTGCTTTTCAGTGGATCCCTCCATTTCCACAGGTTTATCTTTTTTTAAGAATTAAAAAACCCATTATACTGGATAATTATATATACTTTCAATTTTAACAACTTTAAACCATGTAAAATGTATTATATTATTGAATGTTGAATTGTATATCTGATTTCTTGTCATAATTACTGTTCTGTTGGAAATGAAAAAAATAAACTGAAACTGAAACTGAACTGAAATTAAAGCATAACACTGTATGGAGAATATCACATGATGGCGCCATATCACCACCAGGACCAGTGCCATTGATTAGGAGAGTTTGTCCAACTTTGTTTCACTGGGTCACTACAGTCATGTTTCTTTTGTTTTGTGCTTGCCCAACAAAGCAGTAATGTATAGTCGCCATATTGTGACCAACTCGAACCGGGTTGGCCAAAAGTTGTGTATAGATGGCTCTGATCAGACATATGGCCTAGGAGAAATGTGAACACTGGTGGAAAAATACTGGTAATTCATTATGTGGGCGTGGCAGAAGACGCTCTCTGTGTGTGTGTGTGTGTATGTGTGTGTGTGTGTGTGTGTGTCTCTCTCTCTCTCTCTCTCTCTCTCTCTTCTTGTCCTTCTTCCCTATCCCTGCCTATCCCTTAATGATCTTAACCCGAATTCATAAGAATAAGTATAATGAGATATGCGAAAGCACCACTGAATCGGCACCTTGTAAGTCCTTTAAATACATTGAAACCTCGGATAACGATTTGTTCAAAATACGGCTTTCAAATTTTGGTGCTCAAAATACCTTTATTGGAAGTCAACCAAGCGAATATGGACGAGCATACAGAAGAAGCATTGGGACGGAGCACTCGACCACTTCTCTCGCTATATCGAATGCACGTACATTGGGGTTAAAGCAGGTACTACAATGACACCATTCAGGGTATTATGTGCTGATATCAATGAAATGAAAAGATGGAAACGATCAGTTTACGATTTATGGACATGCATGAAGAGACATCAATGAAGCTTTCGGTCTTCAAATATTACACTGACACATGTTGACGTGACTATATGAATTTAAGTCAGCTGTACTTGTATCACATGAACTGATTTACGCATTGATGATATGCAGCGTGCAGGGATAGCGGATCCATACAAGTATACAGAGGTAAGCAGATTCATATCATTTAGGGCTTGAATAGCTTGTAATTTTCTATATGATGATGATGATGAACAGCATTTGTATAGCGCCATTTATATGAATAACAATATAAAGGATAGATGCTGTTTTATCACTGAACGTGCAATTGTAATGTAGCTTTACAGTAAGCAATCACTCCCCTCTCTCCCATGGTGCAACCGTAGGTTTCTCAAATTTTTGATAGTCTATATTAATTATTTCAACCCCTTAATTTTTTTTAATTACCCCCCCCCCCCCTCTCCCCTCTCTTCAATTTCTTTTTTCCTTCTAATCGATCAGGTTTGAAGATTCTTGTAGATCTCTCTCTATCTATCTATCTCTCTCTCTCTCTCTCTCTCTCTCTCTCTCTCTCTCTCTCCCTCTCTCGCAATCAATATTCTCCAACCCTATACCCCCTCCCCTCTCTCGCTCTTTCTTTACTGTTTGCATTCCTTTTTGTTTCTATCTGTCTCTGTATCATTTTGTTTTCACATCTCACGTCTGTAACTCGTGTGACCTTTCATCTGAAGCCCCCATATAGCGCAAGCTTACAACAGTTTGCAGACTAGTGTAGCTCCAGCTCCTTGAAGCTAGGTACGTAGCAGCTAGGGTTGACCTCATACATTCCAAGCATAATCCAATCCTTCTAACAACTATGGAAGCAGAACAAATCAGAGAAAATTTGAAATAAATCAGACTATATTAAGAGAGTTACGACTCTGTTTGAAATATGAGATAACTAAATAAATGCGAATCTCAAATTGGCCATTTTAGTCAATGGATTGTATTTGTCGTGTACAGTTATATTACTTATTTACGTGTGTCATTTGGCCGACATACAGTTACACTTTATTTGTATTATAAGGTGAATGCACATACCTATTCAATTCATAACCTCGTAAAATCGTGAGCTGTGTACTAAACGGATGTCATAGCATGCAAGAATAACATACTACTCAAAAGGCTCAAAGAAAGCATTGCATGACCCTTTGCCTATGGGTTATGATTAGTCTAGTATAACAGACACGCTGTTTATCATCAGGATTGTGTAAATAATAATATATAATAACTATAGCGCATTATACAAGGTATGTCTCTATGCGCTTTACATTGTATTACAAGCTTAATTAATTACATGCACGAACTATCCTCAAACAAAAATTCTGACAACATCTAAATGAATGGATATGATACAGTGCGTCCCAGAAAAAACGAAACCGAGAATTATCTATCTTGTTTTATCATAACTTAGTCACATTTATAATTAATAAATGCATGAAGTCTTTCGTCTACGTCTGATTGTCAACGGAGGGGAGTTAAGTCTTTTGTTAATTCTGTTCGTTGCTACGGCAGGCAGCCAGTGAAAACGAATTCGATTAGTGAAATTATGGATTCCTAGCTCATTTTTCCTGACTGAGGTGTCATATGAAAGGGCAGAAACTGATTTTCTCTTTGAAATTCAGATACCGTCCGCCAAATGACTGGTTTCCTCTCTTCAAATTCATGTTTATTACTCATGCGTGAAAAATGCATTATATGAGTAGCATCAAATGAAAGAGGGGGATCTAAGCTTTCCACATTTATCGATATAAGATATGATAAAACATCGATAATTCCCAGTTTCGTTTTTTTCTGGAACGCACTGTATAGTACATTTTCAAAATGTATTTATATTCAATTTATGCATGTGTACGTAGCAACGAGTTATGACACTCACCTGTTATATAATTACTGTATCTCAATATGCAAATGGTATAAATTAGTTGTTGCAAACATTATGTCTTGCCGTTCTAATTTGCAATCAGAGTATTAGGTGAATGACATTATTTCGTAACGGGGCACTTAAACAAAAAATGTTTCCGCTGTACAGCAGTATGCAAAGAGGCCATTTTCGTAATACATATACCAATGATTATTGAATTCTCTCGATATACGTATAATCATTCTCTAGCATTTTCTCCCTTTCTATATATCGCAGCGCAAAGGGACCCATTTGTGATGGGCGCGAAAAAAGTATGGTATATATTATCCCTTTAGCCTTTCACCTATCTCTCCTTATTCCTATCACAGGGTTTATCCTGATCGTTGGTATGCAGATAAATGATAATCATCTTACGACAATTATCAACATGGATCGTATAATTATGACTCTACTACAGACGCTGGAAACTATAGTTTGAGCAAGGACTGAAAATAAGAGTGTTTTAGATTCCTTTTTTAATTATTGTGTACTCACAAGTTGAAGTTAAGAAGATGACGAGCTCTGTGACGATGGGCGTTGCCGTGGTAACCGCATCTTTGATGGTGCTGGTGGTGATGATGTTGATCGTCTGCAAGGAAGATACGATGGTGAGAGAACCTGGCACACGACGAGATTTCTTCGCTGCCGATCAGTATAGGTAAATTTAAAAATACTTATTATTTTATACTTCTTTGAAGTATGATATCTTCACACGCTCAGTTGCTCAGAAATATTTGTGAATCTTACATTTTTAGCGGCTGAACGGGACATAGTCTAACATAACTCGAGCTTTTGAGTATGCGACATATCCCGAAAACAAAAAGCGTTTCGTTGGGAAAATAGTGCCCATTTTATGTTAAAATAAAGACCACCGTATACAGGGACGGATTGTTATTATCTGAAAGGTATAGGGGAGGCGAAGCGACGAAATATTAAATGCAATAACCCCCCCCCCCTCCCCCCACCCAGGAACATGATTACGGGATCTCACAGACCCCCCTCCCTCTTATTTGGAAACCGAGGGGTGGGCACGATTTCAGGGCATTTCATTTTTTAAATAGGTCCACTGCCCCTGAATCTGCTTACGATTATACTTCATTACATGAATGCCAATAACCTTCCCTCTATTTGACTTTAGAGTAATAATATCATTATGCATTTTATTTTGATATTCTATTTCGCTACTTTACTCAGATTCCCTGGCAGCAGACAGCGTGGAGAGGAAGGAACGTCGTATGTCAAGTTAACAGTCAACACATCCACGGTCCTCAGAACCGTCGACGACCGTTTCGTATCAGTGGGGCGACAATGGGCAGCTTCAATCGCACACTTGGACAACTCTTCAAGTAAGTAGGGGCGTCGTTCTTGGGAGGGCGGAAGGACATTCTCCCCGTTATTATGGAGAATTCAGTATAAAATGATACTTCATAGCTGTGCTTAACGGATATGGGAATGATAAGGGATATTAAGGTGCGTGATGGGCGAAAGTTCCACGGCGCTTAGAAACTGAAACATCTAAGGAAAACTTAAAAATTGAAATTAAATAGATGACATGAAAGGGGCAGTATAGTTTAAAGGAATATTTTGTAGGTTGCGTGTGGTAATCCCATTCAGCCCTTATTCAGAGATTATTTGATGAAAAGCTGAATTTACTTCTTTTCATTGCTTTTCCCTAATACTTCCTGTTTAGGCTAAAGGAGAACTAAAAACCACACCACTCGTGTTTTTTTTTGCTTTTATTTGACCACTTTTTTTTCTTCATTTTGTCCCTCTCATAAAATATAGATAATCTATCATTCAATAAGATTAGTAAGAATGAGGGAACCATCGCAAAACTGTTTACGCTATCGTCACAGATGATTATGTATCTACTTTATAAAAGTTATGGCAATAATGGTAGAGGACCATCTCAAAAGGAAGATTAATTGTAAATACTGCAATCGTAAATATATTGGTAAATACAACGGTAAATGTGACTGTGATTGTAACTGTAATTGTAAATGTAACTGTTATTATCTTAACGAGTTATGAGTAATTTACAACAGCATAAAGAATGCCTCCTAGTATTGTTATGATTCTATTTTTTGTATTTTATCATGTTAATGCTTTAGTAAAACTATAATACGATTTAGCCTTCGGGCTAAGATGCACATTTTCGAATAAATAAATAATAATCATTATTTATGTAAATGTAAGTGTAAATAAAACTGTAAATGCGTTTTATTTGTATCAAATTATAATAGTAGTTTATTTGGCTTTTTAGTTCGACTCGTTTTTGGACGGTAGCCCGCGGCCTTTCTCCTGCTCTCTATCGTATGGGCGGTGCCGAAGCTGATTTCACATACTTCGACGCGCATAGCACTCGTGATGAATGTGCAGTAAACAGGGACCTCAATGGAAAAGGAAAATTAAAAGATTATGGAAAACTGAAATTTTTTAATCAGACACTTTGTGGTAAGTGACTATTCTTAAAGTTACAGTAGATTGTGTTTATTTGTCCTACCAGGAATTAAAAGTCTAAAATACCGGCGCTATGAATAAATTCGTTACGGAGAAAAACGAAACACATACACTAAATTATTTATATTTCAGAAAGCATATTTTGTTGTTTAAGGGTAAAGACCAGTTATGGTCATGCGATTGCATTGTGAAAGAAACGTTGTGGAATCGATCAGAAAAGGTTGATCATCTAGCATCTAGCATCTGCAAGGTTCTGGAATCATCAAAATGATAAGAAATTTGGCCCATTCTTCGTAAAGTTACAAGCACTATACACAGGAAGATGTATATGGGACTACCCTATATCTTTCACAGACCATGAGAGAATTTTTTTTACCAAATATATGAATTAGTAGGCGGTTTCCCGGCAAATTTTTTTATCATCATGTATTAGTCAAAACATATTCTTTCACATGATTGGTAATGAGAGCTTCCATTTCATTTTTTGAAATCGGGGCGTTTCCAATACTGGTCTTTACCTTTAAACTATTGTTAAGCATTCATGTTCAGTTATGCTTTGCTTACATGTATGTGTTCTGATATTGTTATCATGCTGTTCTGTGATGTTGGGGCTCCATTTAAGCATTTTTGTCAGTAAAATTCTGAACATTCTTATATTATAATTTATTCCATGACACCTTTTTTCTTTTGTCGCAAATTCATTTGCGTTGCATTAATAATTTAATCGAAAGAAACGGAGTTGTCGGACAAATTACGTTCTCATAGATTTGGCCAACAATAAAAAAAGAAGTCCTTGAATTGAATCGGCAAAATGAGTAAAAAAACAATAGTTTTGATTTGCCGATAGAATTTTATTTTTAGGGGCTTTATCATATTTCCTCCTCTCCTCATCTATTGTGGCCTATAATTATAATTATTTTCCTCTTTTATTCTCTATTATTAGCACACACTTGGGATAATATCAACGAGTTTGCTCGATCTGTCGGATGGGAAATTTTATATTGTCTCAATGCTCTGACTCGAAACGAAACCTCTTGGGACCCGACCAATGCTCTTGAACTGATCAACTATACTAGACAGAGAGGGTATCCAGTTCTATGGGGCCTGGGAAACGGTAAGAATATTTGATTACGTAGACTGCGTCATTGACTAGCGCAGTCCTTAGTCCTTCACGTAGGCTGCGTCAACGACTAGCGCAGTCCTTGACATAGGCTGCGTCATCGACTAGCGCAGTCCTTGACGTAGGCTGCGTCAACGACTAGCGCAGTCCTTGACGTAGGGATAAGGTCACCTTTTTTAGGTCAGCCATTGGCATAATTTTTTTTAAATCAAAAAAACAAAAAAAAAAAAAAAAACACACCTCAAAAGGGGGGGGGGGGGGGGGGGGCTTTCACAAAAAAACATACAGAAAACATACAGATAAAATTTTTCAAGGGGGAGGGTTAACCCCCCCCCCCCCCCCCCCCCCCTGCGTACGCGCCTGATCTACCTTGTATATCATGTGCATATAGGTCGCTGCTAGCTATATCGAGCAAGTCTTGTGAAAGTCTTTGCTAGAGATGTTATTGGAAAAGAAAAGAAAACGTCTTGGGCACAATTTTCTAGCCATATATCTGAATACTTTGTAAACTCTTTAGCTAAGAGGTAAAGGGAGAGGCGACACAATTCTGAAAACATTTTTCACATTACATACATGCCTTTGGGGTCAGATGTATAGAATGGGGCACAATTAGGCGGGGTGGGGCATTTTTGTTTATACCTACTAGAATATATTTTAAAAGAGGAAACGGGCAGCCACTGATTAAACTGCTCTTTTTTTCTCTCTCCTGTAGAGCCTAACGGTTTTCCAAGGAAGGCCAATGTTACGGTGACAGGTACCCAGATGGCCGATGCCTTCCACACCCTCAGGAAGGCGGTTACCCAACTACCCGACCATTCGGATATCATTCTAGTCGGACCGGATACCTCAGCTCCTATTAAAAAGATTAAAAGAAGAAAGGAAACATGCTTACAGGAACTGAAAATTATCTCAATGAGCAAGTTACTCTTTTCTCCTCTTCTCAAAACCATATAGAAGGTTTTTTTTCGGGGGGGGGGGGGAGGATCAAGCCCCCCGGACGTTTCTTCAAGCATCCTCTGTAAAGAAAAATCATGAGGCACATTAAGAAAAACGGATGCAAGAACCTCTTAGCCCCTGCCCCCCCCCCCCCCCCCTCCCTCCACCACACACATTTTTTTTCTTTTTCTAGAACCGCTTCTGTTTAGAGATTTGTATATGATTTGATAAATTGATACTGATTCTAAAGCTAAGTTTGTAATTTTCATTTGGGTTGTTGAAAGGAATATGGACTTTTATCACATAATTATACTGTTGACATACTTGATGTCAGTTCTCATTAGTATCTTATGTACTCATAATCCCTCGCTCTCATAGTTATCTAAATGATACTAGTATTCAATTCACTTTTGAAGATTCTTCAAATATTTTGAAGGGGAAAACAATTAGTGTTACAGAGTTCATTCAGGTCTTAAATTACTACATAGCCAATTTGATCTTCTAAGTCCGTTTTCTACTACCATATCTCAACCCGACCTTTGGTCTGAGATAGTTTTTTTTAACAAAAGGACAATTTGAACCTGTTTAAAAAAAATGCAATTTAAAAATTGATACATCATGTCGTATATACAGGACACATTTCACGGAATCCGCTTTGAATTTGAAAAATAATGATGTTAATCATATTAATTAAAGCATCATTTTCACAACGGGACCTTGTCTTATAAAGAGTTGCGATTTGTCCAAATCAATCGCAAATTCCTCCAATCAATCGCAAGTTTGCAGTCTCCTATCTCGTATGTACATAGTTGGGATTAATATCAATTGCAGATACCTTACGATTAATCGCAAAAGTTTATACGGCGGGGCCCAGGTCATGATTATGTTTTTACTTTCTTTTTTTGTAAACAGGTTCCTACAAGAAGTCGGGAATGCAACCAATATAACCTCGTTCCATTTCTACTACACCAGCGGTAGAACTGCAGGGTTTGAAAACATGACGGATCCTCGCGTTGCCGATTTACTGATTCCAAATATAAAGAACGTCCGGCAGTCGGTGGCGGATTACGGATCTGCATATAATTCCAAGATATGGATCTCAGAATCTGGTCTGACATTTGGTGGTGGTCCGTCGGGATTGAATGATAACTACATCACCGGAATGCTGTAAGTCCCTAGCCCCACATCCTCCGATGTTTTTCTTTTTCTTTCTTCCTCCTTACCCTACCGAAACTTAGCCATTAAGGCATTAGGCCTTAACAAATAAGATATTGTATTGCCCTTTGAGACCGACCCCAATATCTTGAAATCTACGGTCGACTCTTTATTTTTTAACCGGTTTTTAGAGAGTAAAAAAAAAAGAGTTCAAAAAAGAAAAAAGATTTCCGACCGACCGACCCATGTTTAATTTGCCCCTAAAGGGCAATACAACATCTTTTTTAGGCCTTATTCTGGGATGGCGCTCGCGGAGGACTTTGGCCAGAGCCATTTATTCACAGAGTTTGGCCAACTTGGTTTTACTTGGGGTATATTTTTTTTTTTTTGTACTTGCCCAATAAAGCGAAATTCGCCATAATCAATGGCTCTGACTTGGGCTTATTCCACTATTAGGGAAATCTTTAAACAGGATTTTCCAACAATTTGAATTAATGCATGGGACCATGCCCATATAAGTTTAACTTATTTCAAAACATTTTGGTGATTTTCCAATAAACATATTTTGTTAAGAATCAGAGATGAGAACAGTTATTTTTAACATGACCATAAATACTATGTTTATATTCTACCCCCCCCCCCCAAATATAAAACCCCCTCAATTCCCCCTTATGTTTTCTCGTCCCTCCCCTATCTCTCCCTCTCTTTCTGCCCTTCTCTCTCTCTCTCTCTTTCTGCCCTTTTCTGTCTCTCTCTTTTTCTTTGTCTCCCTCTATTTGCCTGTCTACCTTTCTGTCTATCGCTCCATCTTCTCACTCTCTCACGATCCATCTGCTTCTCCCAATTCCTCTCTTTCTGCCTCTCTTTCCTCCTCTCTTTCTCCCTATATTATTCTGTCTGTCTGTCTGTCTCCCTCCCTCCCTCTCTCACTTCTCACTCACTTTCCTTCTCCACTCTCATATTTTCAATTTCTTTTCAAGATTAAATCAATCATTATCAATGTACCTACATCTAATCAAAGACTTGTTTTGTTTTGTATGACTAGATTGCTGGATAAGCTTGGTATATCAGCCCGTCTTGGTGTGGATCTGATAGTCCAGCAAGGATTGCTAGGAAGAACAGGAGGACTCATCGATGGTACATACACTCCACGTCTGGTGAGACACAAGTACTTGTTTGTCCGTCAGTCTCTCTCTCTTAACATTTATGTCTGTATTCCTATCTGTCAGAAGTGTCACTAAAGAGCAACATTATGATGTCATCCCCACTAATAATTTATGTCGCCAAACTTTGTTATCAGTAATTTAGATTAAAATTATGCCCTTCATTAAAAAAAAAATTTGAAAATACAGACGTTTGAGGATAACCCCCCCCCCCCCCCCCCCATTTGACCTGGAAAACTTCTTGCTTGCATTTGTTAGTAAATCTTTTCTATCTATCCATCCCGATATGTATACTTTTGTCTGGCTACAATCATGTCTGTCTGTCTGTCTTTCTGTATCCTAGTTACCCCATGCTAGTACAAAGGTTCTCTCGTGAGTCGGAGTCAAGCATTCTCAAGCCGTATAATTGCCTTTTCATTTGCAGTACTATGACACAAAATATTGCTATTTAACATGCATTGATTGATTAAAAGATCATATTCAGCGTGCTTATAATGTTTTGATTTTGAACTCAATTTCTACACGAAAAGCATAATCTGTGAAAATGCCATCTGTGCATGATAAGTGCATGTGATTTTACTAATGTGTAACCGATATGAAATGTTTATTGAATATTATTAATTGAATTCAATTTCTAATTTCCAATTGAATTCAATTTTCAATTTCAAATTGAATTCAATTTTCGGCTTATCTCATCAGGTACAAATCTTTTCTCTTTGTATTTTCTTCTATTATAGCCATATTGGTTGTTGTTATACCACAAGAGGCTCATGGGAACTCGGGTGTTAGACGTCTCCAAAGTCGTTTCTACAAGCACTAAGACCTCACAACACAACGAGCCTTTTGACTTTTCAAGTTACGTTCGGATATATGCCCATTGTACGAAGACGAGGTAAATGTCAATTTGTCACTTTCGCTGGAAGTTTCCAATCAATTTCATGCTCGTCAGAGTTATGTTATGTTGAATAACATAGATGGACTTTCTAAACCTATATTTTTCACTCATTCATGTGGCCATCCATGATTAGTTGATGCTATGTCGGCTAAGAGGCGATCCTTAACGCCGTCAGTAGTAGCTATTATAGTTTGCAGTTTGCCGACACACCCCCCCCCCCCATATTTTACCATTCAAATTTCAAAGTTGCCTTAGTTCTTTGTGAGTTTGTTCATTTTGTTGTATGAATTTGTATGATCTAGATCTGATTCGAACCGTGGTTGATCGAGTTTAATACCATTAACATAGCATGGGTCCACTCATGGATCGAGCACTTGAACATTTTTTTGTTTGTGGAGGGGGGGGGGGGGGGGGGGGGGGGGGGGTGGGGTGGGGGTGGGTCACCGGATATTCAAAGAAAATTAAACGCAAATTCACAAGGCTACTGATTGGGGGAACGGGAGGTGGTCCGGGTATTTCTTTCCTCGTCGTTTATCTTTTTTTCCCCTTTCCCTTTCCCTTGTTTTTCTCTTTCTGTCTTTTCAATCCTTTTTTTTCCTTCTTCATCGTGGCAGGTGGGAGGTCATGGGCCCTTGTGTCCATGCAGCTACTGTACTGCTTATAATATCAAATATAATAGTTTATATCCGTCTCGAAATCGATCTAATCTCTCACCCTCTTTCATCATCCCTCCTTCTTCTCGTTCATAGCACCTCGTATCATCCCGGCTCGGTGACGCTGATGATTATTAACATGATACCCATCTTTGAGGTTCAAATTCAACTAGAGGAACCTCTCCTGAATACCACCATCCATGAATACCTCTTCATGCCACTGGGTGCTCAAGGCATACTGTCACCGTGAGTAGAGTTTCCTTGCCCCCTCCCCCCCCAAAAAAAGTGCTCACTACCCCCCCCCCCCCCCCCAGCCTATTCGGTCGGTTGGCTGAGTCGCTAAATAGTTTCTCACGAATTGGGCCCCTTCCCTCGCTGCCGGCTGGATCCGGGCGGTGGGGGGTAGTGGTGGGGGTGCGCCCCCAACAAAACTCAATTGGGCGTACCTTAAGTTATCTATATGCAAAACAAAATAATTTTAGAATGTACACAATCTTGAACACTTTTCACTCTACCCTGGAAAAATTTGACAGTTTTTAAAAGGAGCAATATTTTATTAATCAAGTCTGTATTGCACATGTCCTTACCATAACAATGACAAAAATATATTAAGGTTAACAATATTTGTTGACACATGTCGAAATTCAGATTTTCTCACTTTTCCTTCCTTTTCCTTTCTTCTTTCTCTTGCGCTTAGAAACATTGTATTAAGCGCTTTATAAATGTAATGTATTATTATTATAACAGACAAAGAGTTTATGATAATATATACATATATGAATATTTTTTGTTTTTCGTTAGTCATGGCAAGCTAAACGGTCGGCGACTGAAGATGGATAACGACCTGACCCTTCCCGACTACCCACCCTTGGAGAAGCCCCTGGAAGCATCATCGTGTTACCCCTACAATCCTACGGCTTTTATGTGCTTCCACATGCCCAGGCACCAGCATGCCAATGATCATTATGCTCTCAGGACATTCAAAGACTCTCGATTGAGATTCAAATATTAATTTTGTTATACTTCAAGGTGCTCTCAGTGACTCAAAGGGGGTGGTCTTTATGGTGAAAGTGATGGTAATAATTAGTGTGCTATGTTGCATTGATGATTGAGTTATTAAAGAAACCTCAAAAGTTTAATATTGGACAGTTGCATGGTCGTCAACGCCTATCCGTTATATAACCCCCCCCCCCCAAAAAAAAAAAAAAAAAAAAAAAAATCATATTTGGTAGGAAGTTTCAAAATGATTCATTTTTTTATAGGGGCTCCTGTAAAGAGTGGTGTTAAAAGTACCAAGGTCTGAAAAAAACAAATTTTACAAAGTAATATCTTTTTGTTGTACCCATCCTTTTATGTTGTTGATAATTGGTTTTCTTTTTTTATTGTTGTTGCACTTATGATTAATTAAGGTTCTCTTGCATAACAAGTTTTAGTTGGTTAAAGGTCGATTAACATTTGTTTGTTTGTTTTTGTGTAACATTGCAATTTTCTTCACAAAAAGTCCCAGATTTACAATTTTTTTCAATCGCTTTTTATAATGGCCAGTGATAGGGACGGAAAATTGAGACATTTCTGCTGATTGCCAGTTTTATCCAAAAGTAACATTTTAAAACTTGTTACATTGTTTCATTGTAGAAACTGAACGCCTTTTAACCTTTTTAACAATTAATTGTTTTATTATACTGTTTTTTTCTCTCATATATTCGAGTATTTTGATATAAAAAGGACTTAGTTAATGAGATGTTTAACAAAACGTACGTCTATTAACATCAATTTTTTTTTTACGGCATGAGGGTATTGATGCTTACAGTGCACTTTCACATTGGTAGTTTTCTTTATTCAGCAGTGGTGTACTCAGAGAGGGACAACTAGGGGCATGTGCTCCCATCCTGCTTCCCTTATGAGCGTCAGAACCTGACGGATACCGGCGCTATATAAATAACCATATTATTTTATTTATTTATTTTATGAAAAAGAAGGCTGATAATTTTTTTCTTGTGCCTTTTTTGTTTTTGTTTTTTGTTGGGGGGGGGGGGGTTAAAAGCTTGACACAGAAATTTCGGACTTGTGTCCCCCCCCCCCCCTCCCCCTGCCACAGAATACTGGATCCGCCTCTAATTCCAGAGGTATATTTATATGTTATGAACCACAATACCATGATTATTAAGCCACGCTAAGATGAACAAATGCCTGTTTTTTTGTTTTGCATTGAGGCCGAAAGCAGGGCCGTTGTGTGAAAAAGTATGTGGCACAGAATGATGCCAATAATAGGATCATCAATCTTCCAATGGATATTCTATTTCTATAATAATAACAATAATACTCAGCTTTTACATAGCGCTTATTACAATCATTAAGCGCTTCCAAACTTGGGGATTATTACCCCGGCTTTAGCTGTTCACAATAGAAAAGAAAATACTATTTTTCTTTGAAGTAATCAGGTACAGGTTTCGTTCTACATGCGTTTTTAAATGTACTCACAAAATGTTTTCATGTACATTTTGTCCAAGCTTCTGGGATCAGAAAGGAAAATAGATACCGGTATATAAATATATTCATTGTCACATAGCAAGCATTGTGGTGTAAGTAAAACTATTTTCAATATATTTTATGAAATAAAACTATTTTTAAAATTTTCCTTCAGCTGTAATATTACAGTACTAAAGAAGTCTGTGACTATCATTATACAAGTTTGATATTTTTGTCACTATATCAACTCTAATTTTATACATTGTTTTTGTCAAATAAAGAGGTTTATTAATGAATATAGGTGCAATCTTTGTTGGGTGAGGGAGTGAGGAAGTGGGAGAAAAAGAATGAGAATGAGTCGTTACGTGAGAGAGAGAGAGAGTAGGAGATAGAGTCTAGAGTGAAAGATACAGACGTAAAGGAGATATAGATAGAGACAGAAAGAGATCGTGGGAAATAGATAGAGAGGGAGGGAGGAAGGCAGGGAGGGTGGGATCGGAGGGAGGGGAGGGAGAGAGAGAGAGAGAGAGAGAGAGAGAGAGAGAGAGAGAGAGAGAGACCTATGGCTGCTTATACACAAAAGATATTCAAATTTCACACTCTTCTATCAGACCCAAAAAAAACATGGGTCGGTCGGTCGGAATTTTTTCTTCTCCTTTTTTTCCCCCTCTTTGGGCTGATATTTCTCATTTTTTAATGCTTTAATGTTTTTTTTTAGGCCTCATTCCATGCCCTTTCTCAATATTTTCATTCCCATCTCTCTCACTCATCTCTACCGTTTCATCTCTTCTCTTGTCTCGCTATATTCTCTACCCTCTCCCCCTCCACTCTCTATCACTACAAATGTGGAACTACAAAAATGGAAATAGATAGAGGGAGGGTGGGATCGTAGGGAGGGGAGGGAGGAGGAGGGAGGGAGAGAGAGAGAGAGAGAGAGAGAGAGAGAGAGAGAGAGAGAGAGAGACGTATGGCTGCTTATATACAAAAGATATTCATTTTTCACTCTTCTATCAGAATTTTTTCCCCCCTTTGGGCTGATATTTTTAATTTTTTATGCTTTAAGTTTAATGTTTTGTTTTTTTAGGCCTCATTCCATGTGCTTTCTCAATATTTTCATTCCCGTCTCTCTCACTCATCTCTACCGTTTCACCTCTTCTCTTGTCTCGCTATTTTCTCTTTCCTCTCTCTCTCTCCACCCCTCTCGCTATCTTCTATACCCTCTCCCCCTCCACTCTCTATCACTACAAATGTACCTCTCTTCCTACCCTCATCTCCTATGTCTCTCCCATTTTGTATTTCCTGCTAAAACATGCATCACAAATATGGCAAAAGGGTATAAATATAGCTGAAATAAAAACAAGGGAGTGATAAACGAACTGTTGAGAATGTCACATTGTTTTCAACTGCTTTCCATATTTATATCTTTAACAATGTTTGACTACATTATATGCCTTGCAGCACTGTACCCTTACAGTATACATGATTTATTTCGTAATAAATACATTTCTTTAGAAAGTTAGTAAATGGGATAAATTCATGAACAAGAGTTTTGGTCAAAGCGACAAATTGTCAAAATTCAACACAAACATACTAAGATTAAGCTCTAGGCCCACAGATCATTTAAAAAAAGAAAAGAGAATAACAGAATAGCACAAAGAATCACAAGAACTTATCTAAAATTCATAAATGCAAAATTACAAATCATATTTAAATAATCAAGCAGCTAAAGGCCAAGTCCAAGGTATTTTTATGCAGGTGTTAGCTCCTACGTCAGATCTTTTAGTGGATCTGGTTATACTAGTAGGAACCTCTTAGCCCCACTCCCAAGGCTGAATAACAAAGATAGAAATATTTTTCCAATGTTAATCATACTCCTCATTACACATGTATTTGGTAAGGCATGGAAAACAAACTGAACAAATAAATACATTGAAACTTACCCCAAACATAACTACAAAAGGTACACATACAATCCTTACTCCCCTCTTTTTTTAAATTTTAAATTTACTTCTCTTTTCTCCGAAGAAAGAAATAGACATGTATTTATCTAACGACATTATGCCATTATATTTCAAATTCAAGACACAAGACACAAAGGCCCGAATTCACAAAGGAAGTTTGTAGACAAACCTAGGTTTATGTGCATCATATGATGCACATAAACCTAGGTTTGAATTGTCGCAAACCTCCTTTTGGAATTCAGGCCAAAGTGTACAGAATCCAGTATTCATGAAAGCGTACCAACATTGCTCAAGGTTATAGTCCACTGATTAAGAGAGCGACAAGTATCAACCTTTTCATCCCATAAACTTTAGCACGATTCATGAAGATATGCGACCTCTTTTTGACAGGTGGCCTTTATACAGAGGTCACCTAAAAGACAAACTTGACTGCATATTTATTTTCAAACATTAAGACTTGAAACATTGTCATATCTCATATTTATGAGGGTCACAGGATCCAACTTGCAGGATATGCTTCAAACAAGACACAAGTGGTATTAATAGTGTTTGTTTGCAACTTGGAGCTTTAAATCCTTGAAAATCTGGTGCCATGGTAATTGTGAGAGTTTGACCATAGTGTTTAATTTCTCCTTTGCACAAGTACAGTTTATTATCACAAATCTTCCACCATACCTTCATCAGGGCTTGACACTACCAGGTGCCCAGGACATATACATGGACACCCAATATCCAAGCCCAGACTAACCCCAACATTCTAACATAGATAGAATTATAGGGCTCATGTAACATGTATACAGACTCTAAACAAGTTCAGTCCCAACCCGCTTCTGAAAAGGTTGATGTAGTGCCCTGCTTCATGCGTAAAAAACATCTCAAATTTCCCGAAATACCTAATCATAAATAACAAAATGCAAATCCTATTTTAATCTAAATGAAAAGCCTCTTACAGTCATGTACATTATTTACATAGTACATACTTTTGAGAGCAGTAGTACACACAATATTTGATAGTTTATAACAGGAGATGTGAAATGTTGCAAAAAATGAAAACTCGATTTATATGTCTTAAATCATTTTTAAAATCAAGTAATGCTTAGTCAATATATAAATATATATATCTATATATTTATACTCTGATACTCATGTATTTAAATGTTTCAAATTTATTCTTCAGTGATATACTTCAAATGCACACAATTTAATATGTGTTTATAGATAATTTGCTTGTTAATGTTCATGATTATCAATGAAGGCACACTTTCTTTCTGAAACAGCACGTAATAATAAATATTCCATCCATAATAAAAAATATATGTGTACATTAATACATTAAATATCCTTTCCATGATTTGTAGATGTGAGAATTAAAGCATGCTTGATGAAAATTGTAATAATTATGTTATAATGAAATACTATGATCACGCAAGGATTTGTAGTAGAAAATCACCTTGTTTTTCTTCTTCCCCAACCCAATTCGATGAATTCATGATGAATCAATCAATCACACAGTCCTCATTTGGTTTATTGCAGAATGCATTCATGATCGACCCTCTATACTTCACACACAATACAGTAGCTAGCTCTTTATTTTGTAAAAGATTTCTCTCCCTTTCCCACTAATATTCATTCCAAAATAAAAACGATGCTGCATCAGTACAGCTGCAAAAATGATAATAAAGATTATCCATCTCTGAAATAAAAACATTTCATAATACTACTCACTCCTAGATCATAATCAAATGAATGTTCAATCGCAGTCACGTGTAAATCATTTACTGCTTTTTTTTCATTAAAAAGCATGCAATAGTTTTCAGTATCATCCAACCATTTTTAAAGTCTGTCTGCACTAGTTTGGCCAGGAGGGATTAGACCTCCCTGCCATGGTCACTGACAGGTGGTTATGTCATCAAATCAGCTCCCAATTAACATAAGATAAATGGGGTCATGGGGGACCAACGGGTACCGCTTAGGCATTGTTTGCTATATAGAGGGCGCAAGTAGATACAAGGAGTACAGACAGGCTAAGTATGCAATGAGCAGCAGTGCTTGGGCACTGGGCATTGATGGCTACAGAGGTAGGTGTGCTTATCGAGCTGTGTACGCACTAAAGTAAGACTACTTAGCTTGGTTTTTTTTTGTCAGCAAAAAAACCTAGAAATTAAATCTTTTAATGTACTTTAACAAGGATCTAGGAGTTTTGTCTCATGTATAAGACAAAATGATGCATGTTATTGTATCTCCATACACCTTTCTCTATCACCCCCTAATAGTGTTTTTTTTTCTAAATTGGCTGTTGAGAGCCAGAAGGGCATTAACTCAAATACATGTACATGTACTTAAACACATCTGGGGGGTGTTTCATAAAGATGTTCGTAAGTTACGCACGACTTTACGCACGACTGGAACATGTTCTTGGGTGCTAATCAGATTCTCAATCATTTACATGTAGCACAAGAACATATCACCAGTCGTGCGTAAAGTCGTGCGTAACTTATGAACAGCTTTATGAAACACCGCCCAGGAGTTAATGCTCGTCTGGCTCTGAACAAATGGTTTGATCTTCTGGATACACTCTGATACACATACTTTTTGCTACTTAAACGAGCCCCAGGCCATAATGCTCACCTTCCTCACCCTACCCTGCTACACTGCATCGCATCCCTAGAAAGAAAGACTATCGACGCAACTGACCTGTGTTACACAACATAAGACAGCTGATGACACCAGGGTGGACCACAAACAACACTTCAAACATGTCAAATTGAAACTTGGAAGGAGTATAAACCGATGTCCTACGTCTCATGTTGCCCGAGTCGCCAGAGTGATTTGCAAAGACTAAGATCAACTTACATGCAAGTACATGTAAATTGGACTTGAACTATGGTGGGTTGTTCATTCTCTAACCATTCCTGGCATTGGTTTCTCAAGGGATGTACAAATCGTGGCCACTTATCTACAGAACTTACATGTAGATTTTTATATTTCATTATTGAAGGAAAAAATATTATCTAAAGATCATAATTTTTAAGGTTTTGCCTCTAATTTTACATCTGGTTCAAGACTTTCTAAAGGCATGAATCACATACCGTAGTTTAAGTCCAAATCTTAAATATAACTTAATTTTACAATATAAGAAGTTTTTTCTTCAACAATGAACTATCAAAAATGTAAATTCTTTAGATTTGTGACGTCCCTTTAGAGACCATTGGTGAAAGCACCCAGTGGCATGAATGGCCTTCCATGGTTCAAGTCCAACTTAATTTGATCTTAAGTCTGTGTGAAACACCCCAGGACTCGCTGAAGGGCCTTAGGGGTTTGCATGCTCTCTAAATACGATGTGAGCCAAATTTTAGAGCATCTTTCAACAGACATTGTGACTAATATTTCAGAAGTAATTTCGGTTGAAAATGAATTTTAACACATCACTGACATTCAAACATGTAATTTCGAAATTCAAACCTGTCACTGTTACATGTTAAAACCCCATGAGGACCACTCTACTGTCCCCTCCCCTCTCACCTATGGCATAGCTCACACCCTCATGTTGTGTTTCATTTTATGGATATAGAGCGATGCTTGGCTGTTGAACTTGATACTACAGTCACAGCAGGTATAGTCCTTTACCTTAGTCAGCTCTCCCCATGACAAGGCCCTGAAGCGCTTGTCCATCTCTCCATCGTCCATCTCTCCACCGTCCTCTCTTGACCAGCACCTTGACCTGTGGTGGTAGAGCCCTTTCCTCCTGTCTCAATTTCGACAACAGAGCCTAAGATAGATACATACATGTAGATGTAAATGTCACAGAAAATGACTAATTTGGAAAACTACGTACTTGTACAGGTACATGTACTATGTAAAGTACTATTAGAATAACATTGATTGAAAAATGTGAGCTATGAATATATAATTTTGGGATGAGATGATATCATCTTCTTCTCAAGTCTGAAAATGGAACTTCAAAGGAGACAAATCATTCAACAACCCAAAAAAAGAAGGAAAAAAAAAGAAGAAAAAAGGTATACTAATAGAAGATATAAAATCACTGCCAAACTACAGTACATACAGTGTACATGTCCTGTAGACATTCAAAGGGTCATGATGTAAAGGGCATTAGTGGGGGGGGGGGGTAAAGGGCATGAGGTAAAGGGCAAGTGAGGGGGGGGGGGTGGGGGGGGGGGGAATGAACATAAAGGTCCACAAGGAAGTTTAATTTGAATTAAACAATAATTGAGAGCACAAATTTATGTGATCATGGCCATGAGACACTGCAGTAGGTATGGTTATAGAAAGAAGAAAAAGGCGTGGCATCCTTGTTTCACTGCTAAAATTCCAATTCCAATTCCAATTCCAATGCTATTGATTTCGATCCAAACAACTGTTTAGCCACTGCAGCCTACAAGCCCCCCCCCCCCCCCCCCCCCCCCCCCCTCCTCCCCCATCATACAAATAAAAACGGTTGTTTGTGCAACTCTTTTAAGGAGATATAGAAGGATAAGATACAGGTCAATTGTGGTTTCATTGTAGAATATAGCATTGATCAACAGGTACAAATTTATGAGAAAAAACAAACTTAATTTTGTCAAAATATGGGTTACAACTGTGGGGTGATAAAACGTTGTAACCCATTTTTTAATCACCCCACTGACAATACGTCATTGAGGGAAAAGATGAGTATTATGTCAGCACACCTACATGTACATTTAACTGCTCATATATTAGATAGCGAAGGTAGTTACCTTTGTTCATAGGGTTGTCTCTTCCTGCATTACTGCTTCCTTTTCCTATCCGAATGTCGTTGGTGTCAATGCAAGGGTGCTGGTTGAGCTCTTTGGCTGAACTGCACTTCTTGTTGCACATGTGGCAAGTGAATGTCTGGGTGGAGCACTTGTGATTGTAGAGCTGTTCAGGTGTTTGAAATGTGTCGCTGCAGAGGTGACAGCTGAAAGCCTTGATCCGGCAGCCATGGGTCTTCAAAGATTCAATGTCCATGAAGATTAGGTTGCAGGAATAGCAAAGGAAGACACCACGAGGAGTTAGAGGGTTTAAGGGTTGAGACTGGTCCACTGGTACAGATACAAGAACTGGAGCTGATGGTGCAGGTTGGATATTTAAATTAAGAGAGGAATGTTCTATCTGCTTGACAGATGAAATGACTGGAGGCTTGGGATACACAGTACTAAGGCTTGTCAATGATGATGAACTGCCATCAAGATTGGTTTTCTTGAGACTGTTCCCTCCAAAAGCCAAAGGCACTGTGGTGTTACCAGTTGCTAAAGGTGCAGTGACACATGCAATGGTCCCACTGGGATAGATGTGGACACAGCTGATTGACCCGGTGACAAGAGGGCTCCTGTCGCTGTCTTAGGTTGTACATGTACTTGAGGCTCATCAGGCAAGAGTTGAACAGTCTTTCGGGGACCATCTTTGGTTATTTTCACACGCATGCCTTGGTGCCTGTATTCTTGGACGTTTAGGCTGTTCTCAGGGTCTGCCGACGGTTCCTTCTCATTCTTGGCCAGATCTTTAGATGTACTGTCAACAACTGGGGGAAACATCCCTCGGGTGATTTGTGAAAACAATGAATCATCTTGATTGGAGACTGTACCACCACCAAGGTTTTTGGGAGAAATAAGAGGTGCATTGATAACAAGCTGGTTCCCAACAAGTGAATTGGCAGTTGGTAATTTTGGTGCTATTCTAACATGTATACTTTTATCAGCTAACTTCTTTCTCAACCGACTTTTGACCTCTTGATGTGCAGCTTCTGTATCATTAGAGGTAGTCTTGTTCTGGCTCCGAAGAGGGTTCACCGGTTCTTTCAGTAATGCAGACAGCAACGTGATATCCGAATTGGTTACATTAGCAGGCACAGACTCCTGTGGCTGTCGACGTGCAGCCACAGTGTGTTCTGTCCTCACTGAACCAGGTTCAGAGACAACCTCTGAGACACTTGGGGAATGTTTGGATGAAGATGGGATGCTTGCCTCCTCTTGTCTTGGTGGTAGGTACTTGCAAGCGAGATGTGGTTCCTTGAAGACACCTTCTTCACCTGTTTTCTCCTTGTGCCAGGGTAGGTGCATGTGTAGCCGACTCCATGTGGGGAAAGTCTGCCCGCACTTGCTGCATTTGAACACACAATTCTTCTCCTTTGCGGCATTCTTCATGCACCTTGGACACAAATACCTAGCGGACTCCTTGCCAAGCATAGGTTCAAAGTTGTGCCTTACTACGGTACTGCATAGCAAGCACCTATGGGATTGTTTGAAGTTGGAGTTGGTCTGGTTTCCATTAGTCCCAGACGAGGTTGGAATGTGATTGGTTTGGTTGGTGGCTTGGTTGGGCTCGGCTTGACTCATCACGTCTGAGAAGTTGAGAGTCTTCAAACCAGACGTTAGTTTGATACGGATCGCACCGTCTCCTGATTGACCTGCACAAGAAGAAATAAAGTTGCATAGAACAAAAACAGTCAGATTGTTGTTTGACCATGCATATTAATTTGGAAAAGTTCTTCTCAAAGCATTATCTTATAAGTAAAACTTTATGCTGACATTTTGTTGGTTTTTAATGTAAGCAGAAAAATGAGATAATCAAATTACAGGATATTTGAGCAAAATGAGAGTAGGTGAGTATTACGATTTATTTGTTGGCACAAATTGGCAAATCTGTGTGACATATCTTCCTACAGTACCATCCATACTGAAAAGTTACAAAATTTCCATTTCTTTGCTATTAACGATGGAAGAGGTTTTTAAAACGTATTTGCTGTGATTATATTGAGGGGACATGAACAAAAAAGTGGCAATATTCTACATGTGTAGATGAAACAGCATTGAAAAAAAAATCTTTTGCCAGACAGTACTAGCACTGTAGTTTTCATCCATGCTCTTTTCAGATACAGTAAATCAAATGATATCAGTTAAACGAAAATAGACAAAAGAAAAATACAATTGTTGCCAATTTGCAAAGAAAGGTGATAATAAAATAAAGATCCATCTTGAATATCCGTGTCTTAATAAATATTCATTCAAAAACCAAAATCTTGTACATGTATAAGGTCATAAAGGGACTTTTTATCAGTACTATTTTTTATTAAAACAAAAATATCGAGGACGACAAGGAAAGCTTCAACTGCTCGATGGTAATAAAACCTGCGTTACCAAGTTGAGAACGATCGTCTCTGTCAATAAAATTCTTTTCCCGTCTACAGTATTTCTGAATGAAATGTGTACTACAGTAATCTGTTCATTAAGACAACATGTTGATAAAAGCACTTCTTGTCTTCCCTGAGCATTCTTTATTTTTTCATTCAATTACCTTGGAAAGGCCCATAGTCGCCTGGTTCATCGCTCTCCTCCTCTTCATCCTCACCATCGTCATCCAAAAAGGCATTGTGTTGGACCAGACAGGAATGGAATCCCAAGGCAAGCGAGTTTTTGAAAGACACCTGACAGAGTTGACAAGTGTAAGCAGAATCTAACACAACATCCTGTCCCTCTTTATCCACCGGAGGAGGGACAGTCACCTCCACGGGGGGAATTGGTTTGGGTAACAGAAGGGGTCCTTTGACAGGGTAGAGTACATGTAATGGCTTTGGTGGTTCTTTCAGAACGCGGAAATCCATTCGTGTACCGGTATGTATCATTTTTTCACTGGCTTCTCCACTAAAGTCCAACAAACGAGGTACTACAGATGCTTGGCTGAAGTCGCCTCTAAAGCATTCTTTCTGGTGAATGCAACTGTGAGATCTAAAGGAAGTCAAATCGCCATACCAGTGCTTGCATTTTCTACACACGTATGCAAAATCTGGGGGTCGTTCTATTTCATGCTTGTCTCCATTCGTTGCTTTATGCTTGCGTTGGTCAGCAAAAAACTCTGCTCGAGTATCAAAGCTCACGTAACAGGTCGAGCAGATAAATGAACGACTCACATCATGTGTATCATTGTGCTCCTGATATGCAGACAAGTTTGTAAACTGGAGTTTACAGCTCTTGCATTTGATGGGTTTGACGGTGACATGCAGACTCTTGTGATGGTTCCTGTATTTGGCCTTTTCAAATCCCTCTGAGCATATGGGGCAAATATAGCGCAGCATACGCATGAAGTTCTCCTCCACGCACTTATGATAGTTCAGTTTCCGTTCTGTTGGGAATCTGTTCTTGCAGACCGAACACTCAAAGCGGTTGTTACCGCAATCCCGCATGTGACGCTTGTACAGCTTGTGGTGCTCGAAGTGTTTACCGCAGATCTTACATGACATGCTCACATTTGGCTTGCACTTCTTGCACAAGTTCTGCAGCGCGGACGGTAGCTTGGAGGAACCGGGAGTGAACATTATTGCACACTTAGCACATTTCTGCAAGGGAATCGGGGGGCGCATATGAACCCTATCCTCCTCACGTACAACATCACTTTCATCCTCCTCCCAATAATCATCAGACTCATCGTCTTCCTCCTCTGTTTTCACAATATTTCTCATCAATTCTTGCAAATTGACTGGGACATATTCATCTCCGGGCTCAGTTTTGAAGTATTTTGCGTTGGGATCATCCTCTCCTTCTTCATTCCGTTTTCTTTTCATCACATGAACATCACCATTATGTTCTTCTTGACTGTGGATGTACAGCTCCTCATCCACAGGCTCTTCATCCACAGGCTCTTGTTTGATCCAGGATGCATCTATTCTATGAACTTCATCATCATCATCTTCTTCTTTTACAACTCTATCAGCTTCATCTCCAACGTCTTCCACTTCAAGTTCTGTGTAACACTCAAGATCTTCAGCATCAGCATTCTCTGTTGTAAAGAATATAAGGAGAAGAGAAGTAAATTAAATATGGCTTGAGAATTACTAACAGATTTTTCTGAAGAGTACTTTTACCTCCACATACATGTATTTAGGCAATAGGGCACTACACAAAATTTGTTTTATGAGCTGACTGACACGATGTCTTTTGTCTTTGCCCTACTTGTCCAAATGGTAATATTATTGGTTTCCCATAAGAACAGCCGTGTAATGAGGTACCCGAGTACACTCCCAGGCTTCCCGGCGAATATTCGAATATTCGGACGCCATGTTTTTTTTAATTTAAATTTTATTTTTTATTTTTTGCCACCACCATACTACGGGAACAGTATCCCAGGTCCGTCTCCGAAAACTCACATAATTTTACTTCGAGTTGCAGTTGAAGGCGCCAATTTAATAATAATAACAATAAACAATGCTGTTTTAAAGACCAAAGATGGCAGAATAATCCATTTTCAAGTCCAAACAGAATTTCTGACATTTGGTCCCAGTTTCTGAGTGGTGAGTTTGACAGTGATTGAGCTGGGAAACATTTTCACCGACGGTACCATGCCGGCGGCCGGCGCTCTCCCTGGCACGGATATTCGAGTACGAGAAATCGTACTTGGGTAGTTGTCAACAGTGCAAGTATTCGACTACTCGTCACAGCCCTAAAGAAGACAAAGTTTAATGATATCTGCTAACTTCAAACGCCATGCTTTTACACAGCAATATATCCCCTACCCCAAAAATTATAGTAAATAAACAAACAAACAAAAAGACACAACTTTTGAACAAACTAATATTTTTTGTCCATTTATCTGTTTCAAGATAACCGAATAATTCGGTTGATATAAAAAAATTGTTTGGACTACAAAAACTACATGAAAACAATGTGGGTCAAAAATTTATATGCATGCAGTTTTTGGTAAACTAAAAAGAAAAAAAAAGAAAGAAACTAGCCTTTACCTTCTGCATCATTTCTTGGACTTCTGGAGTTTACTTTGCTCCATACTTTTTGAGGAGTTGACATCTTCCGCTTCTTACGTCCTCCCCTGGGCATGGTGTGGCTGGCTGTAACTTTTTAATGCCTAAACGTAAAAAAGATAGATGAACTACATGTAAGTATTACGGACAATGTAATGCTCACCTGAACTTGAAGAGTGAACTAGCATTCAAGATACATCTTTCAAAACATATCTCATTCCATTAAATTAAACATTGCAATCGTAATAATTCAACAACTAGTACTAACCTCTCGATTACGTCTATCCCCACACAAATAAAAAAACTACCCTTACCCTTTCCTCCAGAAAATAAAAAAACACTACTGTATCTCTCCCAACTATTAAAGTCAAAGGACAATCCATCTTCACTAGCAAACAAGTCTAAAAACAGATACAAATGAACCCATTACACGTATACACGGGTTGTATTGCAATACAGTCTTGTCAGGAGTATCACTAAAAAGCAGAAAAATAAGAGATAAAGGAAAGACGGAAGTTTGAACTACACTGTACATATATTGGACCAATACATACAAAAGTTATGAATCTTTTAAATATGAGATCACCAAACTCTTTGAATCTCAAACTGGCAATTTGGGCAGTGATTTGTGACAAAGTCACAGCCATTTCTCCCTTTATTGTGTACCATTATACCATTAATTCATATTTTCTGAGTCTGTAAAATAGATGAAGTGCAGGAACTCTTGTATGTTCAAACACACAGAATTACTTGATCTAAATGCCATTTTTTCAAAATGTACTCATAAGGGTCTGTGCTTTTTACGGGACCTGTAAAATCATGCATACGTCCGTCTAGCGTACCGACGGTGGGTGCGGGCGCGACTGAAGTTAGTGACTGTAATCTATGATCCTCATTAAATTCATGCGAGTAATTCATCATTACGGTCGCTAACTTCATGCACGCACGCACCCGCACCCCACTGTCGGTACGGTATGCTATTGTATTCTGCAGCAGTTTGCCATGAATCCTGTGAGAAAGTGTAGGGTCTATATCATCGGTCTTTGTTTTTAGGAAAATTACTCTCAAAAACATAGGAAAATTGACCAAAAGCAGGTAAGAAACATAGTCTAACAACTTTTAAATCATGACCATTAATTTGAACAATTGATGAGGATTTAGATTTTGTATGTTTCAGAAGGGTATCTAAATGCCACAATTACAGGTCAAAGTAGTTCTAGACTATAGATATGATTCTGAAATAGCGCGGCAGACTGCACCGATCACTCTGTGTTTGTAAAAGTTTCACAACCAAATTTCTCTTTTTTTTCCCTTCAATTTGAAGTTCAATGAAGTTCAAATTCTGCGGTGAATACAAAAATTTACAAGATAGTTTTAAATAAACAAAAGTGCTGCAAGTTTACAAATTATACAGCAAAATGTACATCATGGTACAATTGTTCCAATGTGTGATTTTAGAGCAAGTGACAGTGTATACTTTCAGTTTCACGGCCAAATACCAAACGACCCACCCCACGGGCACTTCCCAGCGCGCAGCGGTTAGCCGATGTAGGGCTGAGCGATGAGCCATCCCCAGGCCGCAGAGTTTCGGGGTCTATACAGATTAGCACTGCGCTGGTTGATTATCATACGTCCCGAGCGTGGCATACGCACTGCACTGTATGATCACTGCCCATGTACTGCACTGGTGATGTCTGTAGTTTAGAATTGCCGCTTATATTTCTCGAGTTCTTGTTTAATTCAAAACTTCATGAATTAATTTTAAGTTCATGTAATGGTTACAGATAATAAGAAATGCTTCAAAGCTCACCTCAGCCGATATAATTCGTGTTAATCTAGGTTAAAAACAGCAAAATTCCCTTCAACGCCGCGTTTGGCCAGGCGGAAGTGACGTTTCATCAGAGGGGCGCGTATAACCCTTGACGTCATAAAGGTTACACACGCGTATCTCTATATAGCTCGATATGATCTAGCTCTTGAATAACTTTCAAGTTGTTAGGCCCTGTAAATTGATTGAACAAAATCTTGCTTTATATAAATAAAATCACTGTGTCAAAACAAATATTAAAAGAACGAAATTGTAAATGGTTTAAATATAGTGCAGTCATCAAATCACCCAGGCCATCACCGCGCCCCTTCCCCTAGCCCTCCATATGATTATGCCCTGTGACGTAACGCGCAGACCAACAAATCCAGGTCACACGTGGAAGGTCATGTTTTGTGACGTCAATATAGTAAAAGGCTAGTCCCATCTAAATTTATATCTCACAGAATTTTACGTTTCCAAAGAAACGCTTCATAACTTGGGCGGCGCGGCTGCTTTATATCTCCCAAGTATCATATAAAAACGTGAAAATAAAAAAGAAAGAATAAATCAGTGGAAGGGCCAGGGCGCAGAGAATTGTGAGTATTTTCTAAATAATGTTGTAATATATCATTCTATGATTCTGTACTGTTAGAGGAAGTGCATGCACATTAAAATATAAAACAGTACTATAGGAGCTGTTCATCTTTCGTTTTGTCTAGGAGGAGACCATTATAACATTAATCTACAATAAAATATATTAAATGTTCATTGTCAGTTATTAGTTCTGTCTTATTATCTATCATTTTAAACTTTTCACTGCAAGTTACGAGCAAAACCAAAGAAGTTGAAGTATATTCATACAATGATATTCATATTTTCTGAATGTTTCAATGAAAAGGGTTCAATATTGCGGTATATTGAGGTAAATCATCGTATAATAACAATATAATTAAAAAACAAACATTATTTTGTGGACATTTTTATATTCATTAAAAAAAAAATCACCATTACAATTCAATAGTAATTACAAAAGGCTCATATGGAGTTGACAAAATAACAAAAGAATTTAAAGTATGGACGAACGAGAGATCAATTATTTAATTCAATAATAAAGACCTAAACATCTTTTGAATAGCAAGCAAGAATGGCTCGGCCCTGTAAAATGATTAAATTAACCTTGTTCTTGTGAATGTATGAAATCACTGTGAAAAATTTGAAACGTTTATGGTTTGAATAGGGCAGAACAAAAAGTTAAAATGTGGAATAACAGGATATATGTGAAAGTCTCCACATATACACACACAACCAGTGCGATTATCTTCATCAACTTGAAGCAGCACTTAACTGGAAGAAGAAGAAGACACCAAAACACGAAAATAGCCCAAATTAATTTGTGACCCCATCGCCGCCCTCGATGATTATGTCCTGACCGCACAGTATAGTACATACCAACAAATCCAGGACACGCGTTAGAAAGGTCATGTACTGTGACGTCAATAGTAAACAAACTGCCTGTCCATCTAAATTTATAACACAGAATTCTAAGTTTCCAAACAAACGTTTATAATCGTTGGCAGCGCGGGGTGCAATATCTCGCAAACAAATATAAAAACTTGAGAATTAACATTTCGATTGACATCAGCCATTCTAAAAAAGAAAGAATAAAGAATTGGAAGGGGCGCAGAGATTCGTGAGTATTTTCCGAATAATTTTCATTTAATTCTTTTATTTACCTCATGGTTGAGAGGAAATGGACACTTACATGTACATGTAAAAAAGTATTAAGAAGCCGCTCATCCTTTTCCCCTAGGAAAAGAGAACATTAATCTATTCATCTTTCTTTTAGTGAGGGTATATGATAAATAATTGATATACAGTGACATAAACGATACATCTAAATAGTCGTCATTTCAACTAAATTGTCATCGTCGATTATTCCTTCTGCCCTAATATATATACCATTCGAAACAGTTTTACTGCACGCTATGAGTAAAACAAACTAATTGGAAGAATCGACTCTTATGAATCAAATTATACTATCATATTTTTTGAAATTTTCAAATACAAGGGTTATTTTGTTGAAGTATATCATCATATTAATATAATAATAATAATACGAACCAAATTGTGAACATTTGTATGGCACATTTTGATAAAACAGACAAAATACAAAGTACACTAAAGAGATGGGATTGACCGAATAAAGCTATACACACAAATCCTTACCAATATAGTAAATACAAAAGGTACATAACGAGTACCAAAATTAACAAAATAATTAAAATTAAGAAAGAACAAGAGAAAAATTATTAAAATGTAATAATGAAGAATATCAAGTCTTCGGAACAATTACCAAACTATAAACAGGTCGCAAGAATGGTTTCCTTAAATTAAACCAATCAACTTTTAAAAGCAAGAACATTTCGGGAAATTGATCAGTTTTCCTGCTTCCTCTATAACCAGGGGAAACGAAACCGACATCGATAGAACTACGTACGACCATGAATGCGGGATCAAGTAAAAGGGAGTACTCGACCATGGTTGACCAGGAAGATTTTGCCAACGCCGAGGCAGAGCTAGCTCAGCTTCTTTCGCGATATCGTATTGCAAAGAACGATCGGAGGGCCTACCTGGAGGAATCGAGTAAAATCCTTCGAAAACAGAGGTATTGAAGTTTAAATAAACAGGACCTATTTGTGAAGTGAAATATACTAGTGTCACAACAGCTATTGGATAAATTGATCTAGGAAGTTATTTCAACAGGCTTTAAATAATTTCGAATACATTTTGGATATATTGAATCACATGCGCTGACTTATATTGATAACATATTTATAGAATAAATTGAATTTAAATCATAAGCTGGTAGCTTACATCCAATCGACTTGAAATTAAAGAATTTGTTGATGGTTAAAAAAACCTCCCGTAAAATGCAAAGATTAACTAACCTAATATAACATTTTGTGATCAATGTTCCCTGGCATAGAGCACCTTTACGAATAATTGACATAAAGTACAATACACATTCGTTTAAGAACAAAGTAGCAAAGTTAAGAATAGATCGGCCTTCTTATTGATATATATTTTAGAAATAACTTATGTCGTATCAATAGATCAGATTATATTTAAATTGAATAAACATAACATAAATTCACATCATTCCCGACAGGTCTATAATCTGTGGAAGATCTGAAATAAAGATATTGATGAATGCTTTCAAATTTTGCTTTGCAGGAGATTTATTGATACGCTTGAGAAAGAGAAAGAGGAGTTCCGGAAGGACATGCTAGTGGTCGAGAATTTGACCAATCAGAGACGAGAACAGAGTGACCGCCAAACTATAGCTGAGTTGACAGAAACATGCGACGAGAGCGACATACAGATTATAGAAGAAACCCATAAAGTACAGATGCTTGATAAGAAGGTGAGATGATGATGTTGGTGATGATGATGATAAGGAGGAGGAGGAGGAGAAAGAGGAGGAGGAGAAGGAGAAGGAGGAGGAAGAGGAGGAGGATGAGGAGGAGGAGGAGGAGGAAGAGGAGGAGGAGGAGGATGAGGAGGAGGAAGAGGAGGAGGATGGAGATGATGATGACTATAATAATAATGGTGGTAATAATGATGATAATGATAATGCTGCTGCTGCTGATGATGATGGTGATGATGACGATGATACTAATGGTGGTGATAATGATGATGATACCGTCAAACTGTCGTAGTGGCCACCTTTCTAAGGCCATTAATAATATTTATCTTTTATAAGAATTTTGTGTCGCATAACTGGCCTTAAAACACCACCTGCATATAGTGGTCACTTTTGCTGTTGCCCTTTTGTGGTCTTGTGTAATGTCTCATCATTATAAAGTCATGTTCTGACAGCACGACATGATAATATGATAGCAAGAGTCGCATTTTAAATCCCTTTCATTTCTTCTTATGTTTACATTTTCCCATGTTGTCTACATTTTACCTATTTATTTCTCTCAACTTCATTTCACATTCTTCCATCTCTTAGTCTTCCTCTTCTCCTCTTACTAATATTATTGTTGTCGGTTTTCTTATTTTTGTTATTGTTCTTCTTTTTCTTCATGTTTTTGTCGTTGTTGTTGTTGTTCTTCTCCTACTATTCCATACCTGTTGACTGTTCCCTACTTTGCATGTTATTCTCCCCCATCTTCATCTTCTTCTTCTCTGCCCTCTCCATGCATTTCCTTACTTTCCTTTTCTCCTGTCACATTCGTCTCTTCTCGCCCATCATTCTCCTCCTGATGTTAGCTGAGAGACATAAAGGCGACCAACACGAATCAATTACGTATCCAAGGAGGGTGGTATATGGATCAAAATCGTCGTCGTACAACCCGAAAGAGAATCAGGTTGCTTGAGGGAAGACTAGATAAGGTAAATTAAAGGCCATCTGTACTAGTGTAGAGGGGGATTAGACCACCATGCAAGGTCGCTTGGCAGGTGGTATCTCATCAACTCAAATAACATAAGAAAAAGAAGATCATGGGGGGTCAATGGTCACCGATTAGGCATTTGTTGTTATATAGAGGGCGCAAGTAGCTACAAGTAGTAGTAGTGCAGTGTGGCTTTAATACACCATATCATTTTCTTATTCATAATTTTGTATCCGACTAAAAAAAAATAAAAAAGCGATCTGCTTGCTTTGACCGGTATTTTATTATACTCCTCCCAGTCAGTTAATTTGTTAAAAAAAAATGCTGATTGCTGAATTTGGTTTAAAGGTAAAGACCAGTATTGGAAACGCCCAATTTCAAAAAATGAAATGGAAGCTCTCATTACCAAGCATGTGAAAGAATATGTTTTGACTAATACATGATGATAAAAAATTTGCCGGGAAACCGCCTACTAATTCATATATTTGGTAAATTTGTTTTTCTCATGGTCTGTGAGAGATATAGGGTAGTCCCATATACATCTTTCTGTGTATAGTGCTTGTAACTTTACGAAGAATGGGCCAAATTTCTTATCATTTTGATGATTCCAGAACCTTGCAGATGCTAGATGCTAGATGATCAACCTTTTCTGTTCGATTCCACAACGTTTCTTTCACAATGCAATCGCATGACCATAACTGGTCTTTACCTTTAAACTATTGAAATGAGTTTTATTACGCATCCCATAATTATTTACATGTGAAAGTTTTGATGTCTCTTTTTAACATATTCAACTCATTGACTTTCAGCGAACAGCTGATTTCAACAAGGCCTTGGCGAAGAACAACGAAGTCCGTTTGGAGATTCAGCTAATCAGACGTGATCTGGGTATTCTAACCAAATCATACAAGGTGGTTCTCAAGGAGCAGGGTGACGTCAAGAATAAGATGAATGACGTCATTGAGATGTCTACAGCTGCTTATGATAGCAGGTAAAGGGAACAAAGAGTAAGGCGTGTCGGTGTGATGGTATAAACGAAATGGAGAAAGGGGAGGGAGTGAGGGTGAGAAAAGATGGGAGGGAGAGAGAGAGAGAGAGAGAGAGAGAGAGAGAGAGAGAGAGAGAGAAGAGAGAGAGGAGGGATGCCTTTGGAAAAAAATATCTGGAGTTATCGTAGGAATATATATATTTTTTATTGGGGGGGGGGGTGGGGCGCAGGGTGCATAATTGTTTCGTAGAGGAGGGATGCCTTTGGAAAAAAATATCTGGAGTAATCGTAGGAATATATATTTTTTTTATTGGGGGGGGGGGGCGGTGGGGCGCAGGGTGCATAATTGTTTCGTGCTGTCATCCCCGTGCTAAAAAAATCTGGATACGCCACTGAAATGAACGCGAGAAGGGGAATAAGAAAAGGTCAGAGAAGAAGAAGAAGAAGAAGAAGAAGAAGAAGATAATTCCTTGTCCCGAAATCGAAGTCATGAATTTTAAATTTGACGTCGATCATCTCGATGTTCGTACACAGAGAGGAATGTCTCGTTCGGATGTCGACGATTAGGGAACGAAATGACAAGGATGAGATGGCTTACAACAACGAGGTCAAAGAGTTGACCCGAGTCCTGGCTCATGATCAAAGGTTAAAGGACTTCATGAATCTGAAGACCCAAGATAGATCTCATCTTCTCAGGGCAGCATCAGAGAGAGCTAAACAGAAACTAGGTATCTGGTTTATTATATTTAATAGGCATTTTCCCCCTTCTAAATTTCATTTAAAGCCCCACTGCACTACTTGTAGCTACGTATTTGCTCCCTCTATATAGAAAACAATGCCTAATTAAGCGGTGCCCTTTGGTCCCCCATAATATTCTCTTTATTATGTTAATTGAGAGCTGAGTTGATGAGATAGCCACCCGTCAGTGTCCACACTGGGTGGTCTAATCACTCCTGGCCAAACTAGTACAGACGGGTTGTTTTTGGACGTGATGATAAATGAAGTAAACCTCATCGATTATGTAATAAAACCATTTTCTTATACATGTAGTATCAATCACTGACAAATATGATTTAGAATAAGTGGCGCACTGTAAGGAAATATTATGCCTAACAAGCTTTAATTGATGTAATCGTTAGAAAATGAGATAACGTGACCAAATGACTGTAGCTACTACATGAATATTCTGACGAAAACTTTTCTTTGAAATATTTTTGCAACTGATTTGGTTCATGCTTTAATGTTGAAAATATGCATATTGGTGTTATTTGGAAAAAAGAACAATCATAAAGTATATAGGTACAGCGTTTAAAGACATTTGCTATATAAAAGTGGAATATAAATGAATTGATTAATAAACACGTTAAATCCATGTATTTCTATCATACTTTCTCCTATAGCTAAAAGCAGCAAGACCTGTCTCCACCAGGAGGAAATCAAGAGCTACGAGGCTGTCTTCGAGCGTCTCAAGCAGTACGCAGGCGAGGCAAACCTCGATCGACTCGTTCACGAGTTCCTCGCGAAAGAGGGCATCGCATTCGCTCTCTTCAACTATAAGACCGAGCTTGACTGCGATGTAGAAGAACACACGCTTAGGAACCAGACATTGAGAACGGATATGAAGCTGCTCACTGGTCAGGGTAAAAAGCTGGAAGGAATGAGAGCCAACATCATGAAAGATTTGGAGGTAATGAGTAGTAGAATAGCGGTATAGTAATACTAGTAGTAGGAGCAGCATTAGTAGTATTAGTAGTAGTATTATTATTAGTAGTAGTAATAGTAGTAGTAGAATCAGCATTAGTAGTATTAGTAGTAGTAGTAGTAGTAGTAGTAGTAGTAGTAGTAGTAGCAGTAGTAGTATTAGTAGTATTAGTATTAGTAGTATTGGTATTAGTAGTATTATTATTAGTAGTAGTAGTATTAGTAGTAGTAGTTTTAGTATTAGTATTAGTATTTGTAGTATAAGTAGTATTAGTATTAGTAGTATAAGTAGTATTAGTAGTAGTAGTAGTAGTAGTAGTAGTAGTAGTAGTAGTAGTAGTATTAGTATTAGTAGTAGTAGTAGCAGTAGTAGTAGTATTAGTAGTAGTAGTATTAGTAGTATTGGTATTAGTAGTATTATTATTATTAGTAGTAGTATTAGTAGTAGTAGTATTATTAGTAGTAGTATTAGTAGTAGTAGTATTAGTAGTATTAGTATTAGTATTAGTAGTATTAGTATTAGTAGTATAAGTAGTAGTAGTAGTAGTAGTAGTAGTAGTAGTGGTAGTAGTAGTAGTAGTAGTAGTAGTAGTAGTAGTAGTAGTAGTAGTAGTGGTATAGTAGTAGTAGTAGTAGTAGTAGTAGTAGTAGTCCATAATGGTCCATAATGAGCATACTACAAGCATTACATTTTTACACCGACCCAATGGTTGTTTTACCTTTAAAAAAAAAAAAAATATATAATAATCTGTTTTTGTTCATTTTATTTCCCATATGATACTGAGTCCGAGTGTAAGTTATGATCATGAAATTAAATGATGACATCTGGTTTTCTCCAAGCTCTTAGAAGTGCCTTAATGCGGATTAGATATACTGAATCTTGAATGTGGTTGGTAACGCATGGGACAAAATAGTTTGGACTTACCAATTATTTATTTTATTTTATTTATTCGTGTTATTTTACTGAGAGCCTTGTACAAACTATAAATTACAAATACAGATTTGTTTGTTTGTTTGATTGATTTTATTTATGCGTTCAAAAAGATACAAATTCACGTTCAGAGATGAAATTGAATAAAGTTAAAATAGACCTACTGATACATATCATAGATTATTATTATTATTATTTATTATTATAAATATTTGAAAATTTGATATTATGATTATTGTTTCATTAAAAAAAGGTTGGATGTTTCAACGTATTGGTAAGTAATGGTACATTTCATCATAAATTCGCATGAATTTGAATGAGAAGTGTTCTACGCAGTTCTAACTCGCTTCTCTTGATCTAAGAGTAGCAACGGCTATAACTTTTGAAGCGAGGTAATTGAGAGCTACCTTGCACCAATTGAAATCAGATTTATGTATTTGTTATGTAATTTCAATAATTTCCATTTCATATACATTACATATACCATATTTCAAATTTGTATCTGTGTCATTTTTGCCTAACAGGTGAAGGTCGCCAGCACCACTATGGCTGCTGATGTGACTCAGAACCGTTACAAGGTATGTCGCAAAGACCTGGACAACGCCTTCCGTCGCATCATCGCTTTCATCCGTAAACTAGGCTGCGATGCATCCATGGTGACGAACCGACTAGGCTGTGCTGGTTCCATCAGCGATAGGAACGCGATGACGTATCTCGGATTGGCCGAGTTCATGTGTAACGATATCCTGCTTGTTGAGGCTTTCCATCAGCATCGAGTGAGATGTTGTGACTAAGTATATTTTGTATTAAACATTTTATTTCACTCCTAAGAAGAGGCGAGTCTAGGGTGGCCAGGAAGCAGGAGGGCGGGGGGGGGGGGGGCGAAACTTCCACTATATCCCAATATGATTCTTTTGATTTTTGATTTTGTTTTTCTTCTTCCCCCTTCAATTTTATGATATATGATCGCAAATGGAAACCCAAATGCCTTTATATTGCCTTAATTTGAACATACGATCACAATGGTATACAAATAGGGCCTAATCAGCAATGTGGCACCCCCCCCCCCCGCGTGAACCAACACCCTGTTTAGAGGTACACGTTTATTTATTTATTTATTTCTAATATTTTGACAGGGTAGCCCATTCACCAACAAGTAGTGGTTTTCCATGGGGCCCTGAATGAACATATTTACATCGTTTATAACATTTATACAGAACAGTTACAAAAATAATACTCGTTTGCAAAATAAATATAATCATTAACCTAGTAAACAGTAATGTCAATAGGAAAATATTAATTAAGTCGCAATTATGTGAATAAGTCATGTAAATATTACAGAACATGCACGTAGTGTATGTACGGCTGAGCCATTCACGTTCATAGAAGGCATGAATTTATATCATGAATATAATTTATGTCAGGTCACTCAAATTCTACAATTTTTTTTTTCCTTTCTAATAATGGACCTGGGGCACGTTTCATAAAACTTGTTATCTATAACAACTGCTAAATTTTTATGACAAATTTGCTCTCAGCCAATCAGACGCCATGATTTGAGTAGCTTATAACAGTAGCTTGTAACTTGTTATTGATATCAAGTTTTATGAAACAGGGCCCCAGGTCCAGAAACGTTAATCAATTTTTACTTCAATGATCTCCACGCCCCCGAAATATAAATGAAAGTGCATTAAATAATCCCCAGGAATGAAATGATTTTAATATTAGTTGACGTCATAATAAAACATAATGGGACACCTTCTTCTCTACTGGTGCCAAACTCTGGAACAGGCTCTCTCTCTCTCTCTCCTCATAGATCACCAAGACACCAACAGTAGAACAATTCAAGCTCAATTTGAAGACATATCTATTCTGGAACCATATGTATTCTTTGAACTAAATCTGTCACTGTTTGGTAACGGATATATTTTAACTCTAATAACACTGAGTCATGGATGCCATCTAAAATCGCTTTGTATCCAGTAAAAAATGCCATTTATAAATTGCAACTAATATTTTTACTGAATATCTTGTTTTGCAGCAACAAAAGAAAAATAATTTCACAAAGAAACTGGCAGCGGCTCAGCAAGGGAGTGTCATCACCGCCAAACTACGCCCAAAGTCTCCAAAAGCTGTGTCCATCGTTCCACCCTACATCGGGTAAGCCATGGAAATATGAAAGAAAAAAAACATCGCAAAGAATTTCGAGAAATAAAATGTAGGGCAGTTTCATTTACTGATAATATCAAAATTGTAATTTGTCAGACAGCATATTTTTAGAAATTTAGCAGCACGTTTTTGTTACATCATGAGAATCCAAAATGTATGATGTAAATTTAAACTTACATGTCTAAGGATAGACAATTTGTAATTTTGTCTCCATGAGATAGCCGATCTTCATAATCATATTCATGACTTTCTTATTTTTATTCTAACCGTCAGACTATCTATGATGTATTTTCTTTGATTTTTCCTTCTTTCATTGAAAACATTTAGACCCCACAGTTGTTTAGGTTTATATGTCGTTATTACATGACATCTAGGCAAACATTCTCCCGTTTTAAACTATTAACATTTTCTCTGAATTTTAAAACACAACACAGAGAGGATGGAGAAATACCAGCCGATCTTGAGCGAATAGCAAGCAGTGGCCTGGATGAATTGCAGCCTCTCACACCAGACGATATCAGATCAGAGGTCGTGCGAACCGTCGAGCGACGTGAGGCCAAGACGAGGAATTCATCAAAGAAAGACTGGAGATGGCAGGCTAAGAGTGCGGACCCTGGATCTCCCGATGGTGTGAAAGATGAGATTCATCCCGGCTCGGGTGATCTTATGATTAACCATTCAGTATCTTCAGAAAGGGGGTTTTCCTCCACCAATTAATTATAACTGATATAACATCAATCAAACTAGATCTTTATCTATTTCAAACAAGCACAAATTAACAACGTTGAACAATAAGGAATACATTATTACAAAAGCAGACCTTTCACGATACAAATCACAAAGTTGAAAAAATGATTACTATATCACCATGAAGAGTTAAATGATAAGATGTTGTCATAACGAATGATGGCGAAGAAGTTTATCAGGGATATGACATGAATTTGTATTGAAAAGAGTCTAAGTCAAGTAAATAATACATAACAATTTGGATAAATATGTAACTATATCATGATATGGAATAGAGATTATGTAGAGACGTTTATCTCCAAGAAGCAGTTAATTATTTAAAGAAAAAGTGAAAATACTGTTTTGACACTAAATTATACTAAGCAACTTCTTTAGAAAGCATACTGAATTTCAAAGAAATAAAGGCAAAAGAATAAAAAGGGATTTCGGATTTAAAGAAATACCCTAATTAAAGTGAGGAAGGGGATAGAGACAAAACCATACAGCGACTGAGATTCCAATATTAGGATGGTATCACTTGACTGAAGCAAGAGCGTAGATTGCATTAATTGTATTCAGGAATAAATTAACAAAGAACAGAAAAAACAAGGAAGATAAATTGTTCTTCATAATTTGTCTTTGTTGATGTGTAACTTTGACTTGAAAGTGATTCGAGTATACATGAATTTCCATTTGTTAACGTATGTTTTTAATTCCAATATATTTGTTATCCTGAAGAGAGAGAGAGGGGGATAGAGAGAGAGAGAGAGAGAGAGAGAGAGAGAGAGAGAGAGAGAGAGAGAGAGCGAGAGAGAGAGAGAGAGAGAGAGAGATGGGAAGAGTGAGAGATGGGGAGGGGAAGGGAGAGGGAAAGGGAGAGAAATATATAGACAGAGGAGGGGAGAGTGAGACTTTTAGTTTCCCTTTTCAGAACAGCACCACTCATCCGTCAGCATTACATGGTTGCACAAACACTTGCTCCTGCTACATTAATTACTAGATCAACAGAATTCCAAAGCTCACCTCAGGACCCACTCACACACATACCTGTAACCCTAAACCAGACCTACACCTAACCCTATCCCTTCGGACAAAGCCAAGAGCAACTGTTTCTAGAGCCAAAGTTGAATCACCATCAAACAAACAAATGAATTAGGGCCCCCGTTTCATAAAATCTTCCATCAGTAACTTGTGTCACATTTCAAGAACTAATTTATTCACAGCCTATAAACCACAAGCCGAGCTTTTTAATCACATTTCACCCTGTGTAAACTACTATTCAGTACAATGAATTTCGACGTCTTTTCAAAGAATTGATTATATAATGTGATACTTTTTATATTTCATATTATGTTCTAATTTTGTCAATTTTGTGAATTCTATTTCGTGAAATGTGAAACAAAATAAACCTTGAATCAAATCAATGATTTTCATAGATTATATTAATTAGTGTAACTTGTTATTGGTAACTAGCTGTATGATACAGGGCACTATTACATCATTTTCATTATTAATTATAGTTAAAACAACAAATGAGTCAATATATTCTTGTCCAATATCCTTTTTTATTAAATTCATTTGCACAACCATGATCATTCTTCAAGTATCTCATGATTGCACTCTACATTTTGGAATAAGACTATCAAGAAATATCCACATGAATAGAAAAATAACACTATATAGTACATCATTATGTATACACTACTTTACATCATATAACTAGATATATACTAGATATATGATAGTATATTGACAAATGTATTACATTCAAAATAAAAAGACCATTTGAATCATTTCATTTCAATCACAGTTACAACCCTTAGACTAGATATCGGATATCCAATAGCAGGGATTGATTAAAAAAGGGATCAGTAAAAATATTTTAAATTAGGATTAATGAAATTTTTTGTTTGATATTCAAACCGTAAAAAATGATGTTAACTGAAGATGCAGAATATGGGTATAATATAATAAAAGAAAAGATGAGACATGCATGTATACAGGTACAATAACTTGGTTTCAATTCAGAATGTGCACAAATTATTAAAACAAACATTACAACATTCATAATTGTAGTGAAGGGCATATGGCTGTACACAAATCATTTACCTTAACATAAAAAAGAGCAAAAACTAGCAGCATATACATGTAGAATATGAATGAAATCATTGATACATAGTAATTACCAATCAAATCTAAGCATTGTTCCATGAAGAAAAATAGTACCATCTTTTGATGTACATGTATATGCTGAAATTATCAATGCTTTTTATCACAGTACCAGTGATCAAAAGTAAATCCTTGCCAAAATATAATCTTCCCTCTTTAATAATAAATGATTTCCATATACAGTCAAAGTTTGTTGAATACATTTTATTTAAATAATCATGATTTTGATCCTGTTTGAAAAGAGTCAATATAATTAATTATATTTAAATATCTTTTAAATTAAAAGAAATATAAAATGTGTATTTCCTTACTGTTCAATAGAATTCAAGCAAATTATACATGCACATTAAACAGAAATATGATTTTACACTTTCTAAGGCACAACATATAAAATAGAGTATTCCTACTTTTTTCTACCCCTACCCTGTCAAAGAAGCAGCATTTGGGCCAAAACTACTGAATACTGTATCAATGGGAAAACACAAACTTGTATCTTATGCTGCTAGAATCTTTATCATGATTTATTAAAGTAAAGAGAAAATAGTTACAATTTTGACTTGATTGAACAATATTAAATAAACAGAAATATGATTTTACACTTTCTAAGGCACAACATATAAAATAAAGTATTCCAATTCAGTTAAAATCCCCTGACAATCCAGATACTATGTAAGAGTCAGTCAGAATGTCACATCAACTAAAATTAAATCCAATCATATCTGAAGTCGATTTTGACACGCACAATATAACCTGGTTTGTTATTGTAACTAATGGCTATTTATTTTTAAGAAACCTGATATCAACAAGAAAACTCTGTAAAGTATACTAATTCAAAGTTAATCTGATTTTTTCAATTATTTGTGGCATCATTTTTGTCCTTCTGAATCGAGACATGTGATTACTGTACTACACCTGCTTCTGTGAGAGTTGTTAATACTTCAGTTGCTTTCTTTGTTTCTCTGCACGGTCCCTCATTTGCCACATGTGCACTTTAGCACAAAACAATAGGCACAGATTGGCAGAAGGACTGCCCATTTCCGGTCTTGAGTTAACTCCATAATCCTTTCAAGATCAGTATAGATTATTCTTTTCTTTTTTTCAAAACAAAATTTTGTTGCCAATTTAATTGAATTGGCAATAAGTAGTATAATTCTGGCATCCGCTATTTACCTAGTCTGGGTTGTTTCTCTGCAATTCTCTTGCCACTTTGAATGATATATAGAGCTACGGTATTCGTACAAGATGATAGAGCACTTCTATGATCCAGGTGTCCACTGGATACCTTGCTTAGCTTTTTTCTTGGCAAACCACTCGTCACTCTTGTCAGCAGCAACACCCTGAAAAGTGGAAATAAAAGAAAGAATGGACATAAAATAATAACAAAATCGTTTAGAGCTTTTCCATTTTGTTGCCATTTTGATGCATTGTTTGATACTAAAAGCATGGCAACAATGAAAATGCACACTAAAACAAATTATTTCTTCAAGAGAACCCATCATAAAAACAGTTTTGCTCTTGATATAAGGGGTTCCATGTTGCTATACTGCAAGCAGTTCTTCTACAAAGAGGTAATGTAGTTTAAATACACATCCAGTGAAAAACGTCTATAAAACGTCTTGTTGAGTAGACTACATAATGCATAAGTATGCCCTTGCATAGAATAAGGCGTGCCCTATACTCAGGTTTTCACGTTGACCTGTATTTCTTCATACTTCTTAGGCGCTGACCTGAATGCCAGGTAAAATCTTTTTAGGTTTATTATTTACCTTCTAGCTATACACACATTTTTTTTTGTTCAGGGGATGGAGGAAACCTTGATGATCTCATCTTATTTGAGGCTTACTTAGCTCACTGAATTTTGTTATATGTTATGTTATTTATATAATGCCAATTTCATTTCTAAGCAATTGACAGCATATTTTACTATTCTCTCTCATGAGTTTGAACTGAGTGTGTGCCCACAGCACTCCAAATATTACCTCGGTTCTAGCTTGGCTAATGATTCCAGTGCACAAAGCATTCAAGGAAAATCTTCTTATGTACCCATCATCTACACATGGGTACAGATTGGCAAATGTAGAATTCATTTCTTGTCAATGAATAGTGCCACACCAGGGGGGCGTTTCACAAAACTTGTCATCAGTGACAAATGACAGTTTTAGTTATAAGCTACTGAAATCCTAGCTTCTGATTGGTTATCAACAGATTTGTCACTGATTTTTGTCATTTGTCATTGAAAAAGGGCTTTGTGAACAGGTCCCAGCATTTGACCCTATGACCTTTCCATCTCCAGTCAAAGGTTAAACTTGCTTGAAAGTGACACCTCTACAGAAGTTAGCTAGGTCACTGACACATTCCAATAGAGACACTGTCTATGCTGTTAACTAGTCTTTCAGGCATCCTTACCTCATCTAACAAGCCATCAGCCTTGGGGTCAACTTGAGATAATTCTCTGAAGGCTTCGTCGCCAACAAAACAGATTTCATGACCATCCTATACGACGATGAGAAAGACAGAAAAAGGAAAGATACATGACCTTAGTACAAGCATTTCAGAGGAAAGTAAATATCACATTTTCCATTTGGTTCACTTGGGCTTACATATTTATATAAATACAGAGCCTTCATAGACAATAAATAAGTCCATCAGAAAAGATGGTTTTCGGGAAACAAATTTCTTCATAGTTGTACTCAGCAGTGGTTTAAGCTACATTGTATAATATACACCCCTACTATGGTACCTTGATTAGGCAAAACAATGTCATTCAGGTAAGACACCGACATTAACAACAGTTAGGCCCTTAGGCATAGCTTAACACTAGTGTGGACCTATGGTCGTGCACATTCCCCCAGCTCCCCTCCCCCATTCCCCTGGTTGAACTCCAGACCCCTAAAGTAATCATATGAACAAGTGCCCCATAAAAATTTCAAACCAGACACCCTTTTTAAAGAGAGTGTGGAAACCTCCGGGTGCATTTTCTCTCTCTATATATATATATATCAGTACATTTCGCTACGCTACCTTCATACTAGCTATGTGAGATCAAACTTACAGGATCGCCAAGAATGACTACTTCAACCGTAGCCTTGCCAGGTGTATCCAGACTGATCAGAGGTGTGATGATGGTTTCACCCGCATCCTTACTAGCTGCTTCTATTCCTGGTAACTAAAATAAAACAAAACAAAGAAATTTAACAACAACATTGGAGGTGTGATCACATTGATGTTCATTAATTTTCCATTTATTACATGACGCATATGTTAATAATTTAAACATGTATGGTCACATAAAATTATACATAGAACAAAAAAAGGGTCGACATAAGCACAGCTTAAGCCGACGATGGTTTGACCCGCATCCTTACTAGCTGCTTCTATGCCTGGTAGCTATGGTATAAATAAAATAAAAAAATATTACAACAATGAATACAAAAACTCTATTTATCTCAATATAGATTGCATTAACTTTAGTAGGCCAGTCTATGATGATCATGGTTGATATATGCTTTGAAAGAGTAAACAAGGTTGGCAAATAAGGAAAGCCCTTCTATCTAAAAAACAACAAAGAAATATAAATAATGGTATAAGTAACAGAAGGGTGGTAAACTAAACTGGAATGAGAAATTGAGGATGTTATGTTTTACTATCCAAATTCCAATATAGAAATAGATACCTGCATTTGGTAATGTACATGTATATGGTGCAACAGAGCAATATACTGGACCTGGACCCCCCCCCCCCCCCCACCCCCACCCCAATCCCAGCTTAATGATGTTGCATAAGGAATTGGACCCCAAACAGGTCAATAGATCTTCCTTTTTTGTGACCACTTAAATTTTCCCCCTGCCCCCCTCCCCATATTACTATGTGCATTGAAACTTTCAGGCCTATTACTTAAAGCCCAACTACACTACTTATAGCTACTTGGGCCCTCTATATAGCAAACAATGCCTAATCGATGCCTGTTAGTCCCCCATGATCCCCCTTTTCTTATAATAATTGAGAGCTGATTTGATGAGATAACCACCTGTCAGTGAACTTGCAGGGAGGTCTAAACCCTCCTGGTCAAACTAGTGCAGATGGGCTTTAATATGCACTTGAAACTAATCTCCACATACCTGCTCTCGAGGGCAAGAGAATGCCACCCTTCCAAATGCCGTCTTGTGTTCAATAGGTTCACCCTGATCCAGAAGCTCCAACCTACACTGTCCCTCTCCGAAACCCAGGAGGGCACTCTTTTCAGTTTGCTCATACAGAGTCATACCACATTTACTGGTCCAGTAATCTAAATATAAAGTATAGGGTGGATTTTGATAGATATGGGGTAAAAAGCGAGTTGTAAACAAGCTCATATTTCAGGGTTGGGGGGGGGGGGCATAGATGGGTTAGAAGTGAAACATCTCCTTTTTGTGATATATACATTGTATTATTACTTGGATAGATAGCCTTGCTCATTTTACTCTTCACTATTTATTTTCCCATTATTCTTTCTCTTTATCTTACTTTCCTTAATTTCTCTCTGCCATCTTTCTTTTAACTGTATGTCTGACTCTGTCCTTCCGTCTTCTCAGTCTCTTCTTTCTCTGTCTGTCTCTCTGGCTCTCTATCTGTACATCTCTCTCTATCAATGTCTACCTCTTCTTCCTCTGTTTGTGTCTTTAACCCCCCCCCCCCTTCATCAGATCTATACTAGAGGTGACTGGACTTTGTACTGCATGCAATCATCTTGAAACACTTCTGAGTTCTTAATCTATGTGATAGAAATCATTTCTTTACACAAGGTCATTCCTCTTAACCTGAAAATTTCCATTGCAAAACTCACATTATAAGACATTAGGAAAGATAAGGTCATGATGAGTGCTTTATGTTGAAATGTTTACTTACCCACTGATTTCTGTAGATTTGACACACCAATGGCAACTTTTTGAACAGGATCTATGAGACCAAGAAACCAATGAAATGAAATATGAAACTTGATACAAGTAATCAAAAGTGTAAGTCATTTGTAATCTGGCTAATTAACAAGAATCATTAAGTCTTACATATTTTGCATTCCAGTAGATGCCTCTTTACATACCATTACACTTTGCTAAGCTAAAGTTTATAGCTTGTTTTACTCAAAATAATTAAGAATATCCAAAGTATCTCTTTTCCTCTGATAGTAAATATTTAACACATAATTACCTCTCAAATTTCTTGGTTTGTCAAATAAGAACTTTGAATCGATAAACATTATTTAGTTTTTTATGCGTTTTGCGTTTCGGAAGCATCTTTTCATCCCAATACATTTCGCTATCAAAGCTACAAGTTAAAGTTTACAGCCTATTTTACCCAAAATAATTAGGAAACTCCAATTTCTATCATCAGTTTAATGTTATCATTATCATTATCATTATTATCTTTAATAAGTTTAGTTTCTTATCTGTCTTGAAATATTACTATTTTAACTGATCAATTATCAATTTTGTACATGTATGTCGGGGACCCCACTGGAAATAAGCTCTTGAGCTTTTGTTGGTTATCCTGTACAAACAGACTTAATTTTGCTCTGTTATTCTTGTATATTGTTGTATGTTGGAGGCTTTGCAAATAAAAACTAATCAGTCTAAGTATCTCTTCTCCTCTAAAAGTAAATATCAAAAGAATAATTACCTCCTGCAGGTCTTGGTTTGTCCACCAAGTAGAACCTATAACCTCCTGGTGCCTGCACTGACCAAACACCCTCAGACTCAATGGTCAAAGGCCACTGAGCTTTCTTAGCGTTGGCAACGGCATTGCTGCATTGGATTGTGATACCCTGGGATGAAAGAGGAAGGAAAGAAAGAAGGAATAAGGAGTGCTCGATAGAAACAAGAAGATCAAATGAGGAGTAAGACATCTGAAATCACTGACCACACACCCTCAGACTCAATGGTCAAGGGCCACTGAGCTTTCTTAGCCTTGGCAACGGCATTGCTGCATTGGATTGTGATACCCTGGGATGAAAGAGGAAGGAAAGAAAGAAGGAATAAGGAGTGCTCGATAGAAACAAGAAGATCAAATGAGGAGTAAGACATCTGAAATCACTGACCACACACCCTCAGACTCAATGGTCAAGGGCCACTGAGCTTTCTTAGCCTTGGCAACGGCATTGCTGCATTGGATTGTGATACCCTGGGATGAAAAAGAAAGGAAAGAAGGAATAAGGAATACTCGAAAGAAACAAGAAGATAAAAAAAGGAGTAAGAAATCTAGGGGGTGTTTCACAAAGATCCTAAGTTGAACTTAACTCTGAGTTGGACTTAAGAGAGCCATTTGAAGCCTTAAAATAAAATATATTCAAAAGTGAAAATTCAAATAATTTAGACTTTTTATAATTTCCACATCAAGAACATGAAATCTCCTTGATAATAGAAAATATGAATGATTTGTATCAACATTTTATGCCTTTTAAAATAACTTTTACAAAACCTTTTCATAGATGCTAACGGCTTTCCGTAATTTTAAAGTCCAACTTAGAGGTAAGTTCAGCTTAGGATCTTTGTAAAACACCCCCCTCCTCTCAGATTTCATAGGAAGGAAGGCTAATTCTGCAGGTTAGAATTAATATCAAAGGTATTTTGTACCATTGTGAATTCCTGCAGGTCTTGATTGGTCCATCAGGATAAAACTAAAAATGTCTTCACGATATAGTACATTTCAAAACTTGGTTGCAAAAAAGGGTCGACAAAAACACAAATCTTTACATAGTAGTAGTTTGCATATTTGTATACAGTAATTCAACGTTTTGAAGACAAATTTATCTTATAGAACACGCATTTTCCAGAGTTTAACCTCCAAGTACAAGTTTTACATCTTGGGGTTTGGTTCATATTCCTTGGATTAATGACATTTTTACTCAGAATACTAGAAATCTGGCAAACTGAGAGGTCAAATCTTGCCAGAATAATTTCAATTTTGATTCAGTGTTCTTCTAATGTATTTTGTCAATGTTTCCTATTTGATGTAGCAGTGTAGTGAGTGTACTATGTACTGTTTGCTTTGCTTTCTCCTATTGTATAACCTCTGCTAGTTGTTCTGGATACAAGTTCTCTACAACTAAATGTCTTTTGTGTTTATTTCTCCACTGGCTTTGTAGCACAAACAACCTTGAATAGCAGGCTGTGTTTATTGTTCATTGTGTAAATAATGAACAATAGCACAAGGCAATATTCAGAACAAATTTCATAAATAATAGTACATGTTTTTCAACTCCTTAAATCTCCACACAAGATCTATAGACATTTAAAAGCCAGCTTAGCCAGGCATACTTATCCTAAAACCACATTGTCCCTTAAAAACACAATTTATCAGACAAGGATCACCACATGATCAAATTTTAAGTACTTCAAAAAATAAAGGTAAAATATGCCTGAAGGAAAAACTTACAGCAAATCTTTCATGCTGGTATGGAAATTGTATTTTGAGAGAAAATTGCGACAATTTATTCTGGATTGTTTATCCAGCAGTAGATTGGTTGTTTGAACCAGGAAAATAAAAACAAATGCAAAAAAACTTGGTGGCAGGGGCATACGCAGGGGGGGGGGGGGGGGGGGGGGGGTTAACCCCCCCCACCCTTTGATTTTTTTTTATATGTATGTTTTTCAGGAAACCCCCCCCCCCCTTTTGATTTTTGATTTTTTAATATTTTTTTCTTAATAATTAATTTAAAAAAAAAATCCTAATGGAAGACCTAAAAAAGATGACCTTACCCCCCCTCCCCCAACGTAACGGAATGTCGATCGGTAAAATTTCCAAATTTCGGGACCCCCAAAAATAAAAACATATCCTCTTACCCCCCCCCTGCACAAAATACAGGTTAATTATAACAAACTGAATTAAAATCAAACAAGAATGAAGATTCAAAAATAAAGTTGCAATAGAGGAGATGTGACAATAGAAAGAGAGAAATCAACCAAAATATATATGCACTCACCAAGAAGTCATTTCCCAGATCATAGCTCTTCACCCCATAGTTGTATGTGAGCTCAGTCACAAAATGGTTGTCTTCTGGACCATAACCAACCATAGACTTGCTCCATTTGCCATCGTAGGGCCTTTCGAGACAGAATGAGTGAGTGAGTGAGAGAGAGAGAGAGAGAGAGGAGAGAGAGAGAGAGAAAGAGAGAGAGAGAAAGAGAGAGAGAGAGAGAAAGAGAGAGAGGAGAGAGAGAGAGAGAAGGGGGGGGGGGAGAAGGGTGTGAGATGGTTTTTAGAGGGTTCAATATTCAACAATAAGGTTCACAAAAAAAAAAAATTATAATTTGTTATCAATTTGATATGATGATATACATCTCTCGGGACCGACCTTAAATGACACCATCCGAAAGACACAACAAGCGCTCAAAATACACGGGGGCGGTGGGCGATTCGCCCCCGTGAGCTACATAATCGCCCCCTTCAGGTTGCTCACGGGGGCGATTGCAAAATTAAAAATCGAACCCGTGGAATTATAAAATAAAGATTATCTTTTCTGTTATAACTTTAACACAATATTGAGTTTCAATTTTCAAACCTTAAACCAATGAAATGGAACTTAGATTAGCGTGCAAGATTTCTCGTTTTATGAGTAGGCCTAGTTATTACCGATTCAGCTCGAAGTGCAGTGCCACCGTCAGCAGTGGTTATAGGCCTACTGCGCCGTTAGTAGCGGTACGTGTGCACGCTGCCGCGCCATGTCTGCTGGAGCTGGAGGCGATCGCGCAAGGGCAGAAACATGGTCATGGAGAAGTTTTTCGTTGGGTTTTAACCCCCTCCTCCCACCCCCCGGCCCCCTTGGGCTGCCAGGTGAAAATGTGATATTAAAGCGGGGGAGGGGGGGGGGGGTAGATGCTGGAGAGGAGGACTACTAATCTATTTTATTTTTTTCAGGGGGGGGGGGGGGAAGTGAAGCGCCGTTTTAGCATGACTTTCTTTTTAAATCTTATTTTCACCTATCTCAGATAACCCTAGGTTTTTGGTTGCTGCTTTATATGTAGTTGATAATGCATGATTAAAATAAAGAGAGAGAGAGAGAGAGAGAGAGAACCACCATCATTTTGCAATGGTTCAGGGTTCGTGTAATGTATGTTTGAAACTATTTCTAAGCATCTCAACCCTAAAAAAATAGCAAAACTATTTTTGAGGAAAAGCATTATACTGAATTAAATAAAGAATAATAGCTTTATATTGGATCATACTAATACTGATATGGGCTAAAGACAATGTGGTAAAGAGGTATTCCAAAATGACATTCTGATAATCAACATTTGTTCTGGTATCATATGTACAGTATATACGCATAATACAACTGATCTTTATGATTTCTTAACGTGACATAGCTTCTTCTCCCCCTGCAAACAAAAAAGAAAACAAGGTTATTTAATAAAAGGATCATGTGACAAATAATCATTGTGATTCAAATTGATGCAAGGATTTTTTTTGAATAAGCAAAATGAATGCTTTTCACCAGAATCTTCTTTGTAAAAACGACTTTTACAAATCTCAGCCATGCAAATCTGCCACTGTGTTGTAAGATCACTTTCAGATTAGGAGAAGTGTATTCTTTAATGAGTATTTTACATTGAATGGAACGTCTCAACTCAGTAAGCATGGCTGAGATTTGTAAAAGTTGTTTTATAAAGAAAATTTGGGTGAATAGCAGTGCTTATTCAAACAAATGTTCGCATCAATTTGAATCACAATCATTATTTGTCGCTTAATCCCTTTTGATGACCTCGTTTTCTTTCTCGTTTGCAAGGGGAGAAGAAGATATGTCACGTTAAAGACATCATAAAGATCAGTGTTGTATGCGTATTATACACAGGCCAGTAACAGCTATGTAGCTTGTAAATTTGTAAGAGGGAAAATGCTGATTGAAATGATAATGATGAAATAGCAAATAATTGAGGAGTATCATAGGTACCAATTCAGTGGATATTTGTATAAAAAAGAGCCCTCGTCAGTACTAAAAGAGCCCCTGTGAGAAGGCTCATGGGGGCTCTTTTTTGGGGGGAAGAGCCCCTGTGGACAAACAATTAATTTGAGCCCTGGACACAACTATTACTAGTTTCGAACAGGGTCTGTCTGATTCAATCAGTTTATAGGCGAAGACAGAGATCGAGCTGACTGTACCACTGTACGTACGGTTACTGCTAGACCAATTAACTCACATCTCAGTTTTAAGCAATGTGCCTATCACTTTTATTAACCAGTGGTTACAGGTGAGATGTATAAATATTCTTTAAAAACATATTCTTTAAATTCACTTACAACACCAAAGTATCATTATTTCATCCACAAAATTGTTTTTAACACGTTAATCAAACAAATTCTTGTTTTTTTAGGGGACGATTGGTGAGTTCATTTTTGTTTCTACAGATGAACATCATGATCTTACCCGTTGCATGTTGCTGCGCAGCCTTCTTCAAATTCTTCATGTCTGAGGAACTGTTGGAGAAAGAAAAGAGTGAGATGTGTATACATTTATCTCACAAATAAATAAATAATTCTTTGTTGCCGGATCATTGACTCATTTCATACCCATTTCATTACACAAAAAAGAAACTCATCAGTTAATATACATGCAGACTGATGGCATTTTCCCCTTCTATCTTTAATGTGAATCATTGTCAATCAAGTAAAGTTACTACAGAGTTGCCTATTACATGTAGCATACATTCAATTATTTGCAATTATTCTGATCCATACACTTGTAGCGACTAATGTTACAGTGCATTCATATATAATTCACTGGTATACATATTGTATTTTCAATCCAAAGTGGCTGCCTGAGAAGTCATTCAGAGTTCGAGGATTTTGGTATTACGCCATACCTTCGGAACTGGTTTTAACTGGATTTATTACTGAACGATGTTTATTCATAAGTATTTTGATCACATGATTAATTAACATAGATGTACGCGTATTTATTCATAACTTTTTAGATCACGTGATTAATTAACATACATGTGCGCGTGTTTTGAACCAATCGCGCTGTAGTTGTGATTGGCGCTCTTCTGATTTTCCTGTGCGGGAATCAGTGAGCTTTTTAATATCGGTATACACACAGGCTGTTATTGTGTGGTGATAGTTGTTCCGATAAAATGTTATCCAACGAGGATTGAACGAATACGTCCCCGGACCATCCCCGGTGGACTTGCTCACCTATTTACAACTTGTACTTTTTGCAAGATACATTTTGACTCTTGTGTTCTGCATTGACGACACTTTAATTCGCTGTGCAGTGAGAATAGAACATTTTTGATCTAACATTTTTCTCACCTGCATTATTTTTTGACAACCTTTTATCATCGACTTCATATGATATATAATGTCTTGACATTTTGATTCTTCGACCTGCATCGCAAGTTGATCTATTGACCTCGACTGCATCATTATTGTATTTGATTGACTGTCTCATCACCATCATCAACGAGACCGTCTTCACCAACGTCATCACCTTCACCAGCGTTGTCTTCATCATCGCTGTCTTCATCATCGTTGTCTTCATCATCTTCTTCATCATCATTATTTCATCATCGTCTGCACCATCGTTGTCTTCATCACCGTAGTCATCGTCTTCATCATCGTTATCTTCATCATCGCTGCATTCATCTAGCGTCGATCATCGTCTGCATTTTCTACGCGATCGAGAACTAGCTCATCGACCACCGTTTTCGACTAGCTAGTTTCTACATCTAGAACTTGAAAAAGGTCTACATTGAATTCAACTGCCATGACTCACGTAACGCTAATTATATTGTGATTTATGCATTGCATTGTTTATCATTGTGATGTTTATTTTGACTGACCGAGTGCCTGTTCTTGAGTGCGTACGCTTAAATCGTAACACATATTTACATGTTTATAATTGTACTAGGTCTAGGCCTGGTCTAACGATCTAGATCTGCTATAGTCTAGATCCACCGATATATTGTTGTATTCTCGTGTTGTGCTTTCCGTACACATACACAAGTAGAGCAGGGATATTAATCACAAATCCCTGAGTAGAGATTTGTTAAGTGGAGTTTTAAACCACAATATTTCGTGCCTATGTATGTAAGTAAATCTAAACGCTGTCTAGCTTAGATTTGAATAGTATTTTCTTGACTGTTATTATTCATCCAGTGAATGATATTTAACTGACTCTGTTTTAGTACTGACTTAAGTTGTACTGAACAGGACTCCTGATAGTTTGAGACTTGTATTGAGCGATAATCATTAATACCATAGTGACTAAGTTGAGTCTCCTTTACATTAATGTGCTTTTGGAAGTTATCTATGTTTGATTATTAATAGTAACTACCAAGGGCCTAGTGATAGTTTAGTTGTCTGTCACCAGATAGACAGAAGAGGTTTTTGATAATTCTGTAATCATTGTTTCTTATGTGAAATTATAGAACCGGTTTTTAACCATAATCAATTTGTCTGAATGTGATCATTTATTAAGTGTTTTATTGTCTGGAGGGATACTGCTTTTTAGTAGTTTAATTAAAAAAAGGAATTATGTGGAATTACATGTAGTTAACACGCAACGTAGTTCATACCCCATGTAGTTTTTTAAACACTCTACCAATCATGCCTCAAATCATGGCTATTACATTAGTCAATAGGTCTACTATGTATTATAAGATGGTGACGTGGATCCTAATCAAATGATTGGTTGAAAGCGTAGACATGACCAGGCATTTATTTAGCCTATAACGTATTCGGATAATGACCGGTCATTATCCAATTCTAATAACCGGTCATTAGTAAAATCAAGTTATAAAACAAATACAACATACACTGTAGGGGTCTAGACCTCTAATCTTATAAAACAAATAATAGGTCTACACATCATTTGTTTGGGCATTAGTAAAATTACTAATGCCTTCACTGCTGTGTACTAATTATTTGTATATCATACCCACATTTTATAAGCAAGAATCATTTTAGACAGAAAACCTGTTGAGTTTTATACAAATTATTATCTGATTTTTCGTCAAGTAGACTAGTAGACCGAAAGCTTCAGTCTCTATACCGTCGGTTGTTCCACTGAGACTACGTCTGGCTCCACTAGACCTCCGGTTATAGAGACAGAACGATCGCCTATGCCAGCCTATGTTGAAGATATCACGGCTAGATTTTAGCCGTTAGGCCCCTCCCACAAACATGAACAAACTTGCCACGGCCGTATTGTTATGCCCCCAAAATCCCCCAAAATGTCATTTTACCTCGTGCATATCCAATTTTACATTAGGCCTAGGCTATAATACATCGGTTCCACTTACTAACTTGATTGAAATAATCCGTTTAATGGTCCCTTTTAAGGAAATTATGGGTCAAAATCGACATCCATGTTGAAAATCTTGCAAGCCGTGTTAAACTCTCGCTGCCGTCAATCTCATTCCTTCTACATGTAGTCTACGCCGAAGGCAAAATGATTATGAAGGAAAAACTGTGCGCCATCTACACGTTCGTAATGGCGTTATCATATATTATGAACGATCGAAGTCCGAGCGGACGAGCGGACGTGCTTTTCAGAAGCTCTCTAGGAGCTTGTAGATTTCTTGTAGAATTTTGCCAATATTGTTAAAAATTGCCTCAATACCGGATATTTTGGGACTGTTTTGCTTCTTTATACTGTTGAACTTTGGATTGAAACTATAGTGGATTCATACAAGCCTATACCTATAGGATCAGAGTCAAAAGGTAAGCAAGTCTTGTGGGCTACTAACACATACCGCACCCTTAATTACACGGTAGACTGCACACAATTGAATTTCCCGCCCTTTTCAGGCAACCAACCACGTCATGGCCGGAGTGACAAACACCGGCCAGGGCGAAGAGCCACCTCTTTTACAACCCAATGAAGAAGATGAATTTCGAACTGTAAAATACTCTCGTAGGGAGCAAAAACCGAGAAATAAACGCAGGCGCGAAGGAAGCATTGCAATTGAAAATCTTTCAATGAGAACAGAATCTTCTTCCTCAGAAGACCAAAATACAACCCAGAACCGCCAATCGGAACTCAAAGTCTTAAAGGGATCCGGTAACTTTGTCTCAGATTCTGAAACAAAATTCTGGATTTAGCTCATGATGCAATGATAATTATAAACCTTTAGGTCAGTCAGGAACCCCATGACTTTTACAAGCCGATCGCCTGTCTGATTATCAAGATATTTATGATTGGAATTACAAATTTTGAAAACCGTTCGCCTGACGGTTTTCATAACACTACAGTCTATTGGGGAAAACGAGTATGGTAAAGCCGGTCACTCAAAGATTTTTACTTTTTTGAGGCACTTCTTGACCATTTTGAAGCGCAATTTTTTTAGGGCTTCAATATTACACCATATTAAAGACACTGATAACACGTAGGGCCGTGTATCTCAGATTTAACATTGTTAAACGATCCCTTTAATTACCCCCATAGATAAATCAAAATCGCTAAAGAATGTGAATCCCATTACTATAGCTAGAAATATCTGTGAAGCTTGTCCGAACCCTGTGGAATTTATCAAACCCACAGCCCAAGGTCTCCTTATCAAATGCAAAAACCAGAAACAAGTAAAAGCACTATCTCAAATTAGTAACATAGGAACCACCCCAGTAAAAGTTGCAGAAAAGCAGCAAGTTGTGAGAGGGGTCATATATGGAGTACCTACAGAAATGACTGATGACGAAATTCTCAATGAATTGAAACACCAAGGAGTAATTGATGTAAAAAGAATCATGAAAAGGTCCAAATCAAATGTAAAATCAATTGAAATTGAAGAAAGCAGACCCAATTTTATCCCAATGAGGAGTGTTATTATAGCATTCAACCGTACAAACCTCCCCAGCAACATAACAATGTGCTATCAACATTTTGAGGTTAAACTATACATTCCCCCCGTTTTGAGGTGCTTTCAATGCCAACGCTACGGCCACGGCATAGCTCAATGCAGAGCAAAGATGAGATGCGTCAGATGCGGGGAAGACCACAAATTTGAGGAATGTAACCGAAAAGAAAGACCGATATGTATAAATTGTGGTGGGAACCATTCAGCAGCCTTTGACGGCTGTCTTGAAGCTAAGAAAGCCAAAAAGATACAAATAGTAAAAGTCAAAAACAATCTTTCATACGCACAAGCTGCAAAAACACAGTCGGAGCAAGAAAAAGCACAGCAGAAACCACAAGCCAACCTCCCTGAATCACATCCCTCCCTCGATGTCAACTCAGATAACCTCCCTCTTCCTCCCCGACCAGCGAGGTCATCCACAGCAATCCGCCCTGAAAACGCCACCCCGCAACTTGATCCCCAGCCCTGGAACACCCCGCTGCAAAAAAACGCACAGAGCAGTAAATTAATAGATGAGGATGGAAAAACTGAAGTAGAACTAGAAGCCCTCCCTCGAGGTAACCTAGTAACATTAATGAGTGATGAGCAAATAATCTCTTTCATTACGCAATTTGTTCTCAC